GCGAAGGGCGGGGGCGGCCGCAGCGGAGGGCGGGGCCGGGCGGGCGGTGCGTGGCCCGGGGCCAGCAGGCTGTGCCGCCCGGCGCGGTGCCGGCGGGGGCGGCGCGGGCCCCTCCTGCCCGGGCTGCTGGGAGTTGTGGTCCGAGGAGGCGGCGAACGAAGCGGAGCGGCGGCCCTGCACGTCCTCGCACGGCAGCAGCAGCAGGTCGGTGCCGCCGCATCCGGCGCGGGGCGGGCGGGGCCGGGCGCTGCGGGGTCGGGATGCGGGGCAGTTCGGTGCGGGGGATGCAGCCGTGCCCGGGGCTCCACGGCGGGTGACACCGCGGGGACGGGTGCCGCCGATGTGACACGGGCGCGCCGCAGCGGGCGATGCCAATTGGGGTGACACCGTTGCAGCGAGCGGCACCGTTGGGGTGGCACCGAGCTGCCTGGCCGCGCTCCAGCTCCGTAGTAGCAGCCCACGGCCGGCCTCGCCCCGGCACTCGCGTGCCCGCAGAGCAGAGCGCGATGCCGCCGAGCAGAGGCCATCCCCGCCGCTCAGCCTGGCTGCTGGGGCACGCGGTGTGGGGATCCCGGCCCACAGCCGCCTCTTTCCGGAGCTGCCGGTGCCCTGCGAAGCTGTCAGGATGTAACTTGGTGCTGCATCGGAGCCTCTCTGCTTCATTACGTAACGCCGCTGCTGCCTGGCACGGAGCTTGCCTCCACGTCCTGCACAACTTCGGGGCACCGGGGAATTGATGGGCGCTATTTGGGACCGACTGCCATTTGTTATCAGCTGACGATGCGTGGATCTCAGCTGCGTGCATTGGAGCTGCGTGCTAAAGCTGCGTGCAGTGGAGCAGGGCATCTCCTGCATCCTGGGTGCCCCTTGGGTTGGGGCACTGCTCTGCCACACACCAGCACAGCCGTGGGGCTGCCTGTGTCAGCACGGGAGTGAGCTGCCAGGCTGCATCCAACCCCATTTCCCAGCCTTTTCCTGGGGAGTCAGGATGGGTGCTAGGTGCTTTTGGTCTCTCATTGTCTTGATGGCTGCCCCATGTGAAGTTCTGCCTGCAGCCCTGGGCCGGCAGAGGGGCTGTGCCTATGGTGGAGGCTCCCAAGGCTGTCAGACCCCTCTAGGCAGCCTCAGAAGGTCCCTAATGCCAGTCTCCCTGCTTTGTTCCGGAGCTGGATTGCTGCTTTGAATGCCAGTGGCATTATGGGGTCGTGCCACGCTGGGGAACACCCCTGGCATTGGCCCATGGTGATGCTTGGGGAGGAGGGGTGTGCTGGAGAAGCTGGAGGGACTCCAGCCACCGGGGATGGAGGGAAGCTGCCTTGAAATTTCCAGGCAGCTCCAACGTGCCACGTGGACTGCAGGGCCCAGGCAGAGGGTGTGGGGAGGTGTGCATGTCTCTCCCATCTGAGCAGAGCTGCCCCTGCCCTTGGGCTGCAGCTGCAGGAAGGCCCCTGCCACTGCTCCACCAGCTGAACCGCGTCCCCCTTGCCATCTGTGGGGAAATGTGCATAGATTAAGGAGCTGCAGGACCTCAGCAGAGAAAGTAGGGAAAGGCTGGAGATCTTTCTTGCCTGATAAACCCACCCTGCACCTTCAGGTCGGTGCTCCTACAAAGAGACAGAGAAGTGCTGGGGATGGAATTTGGACTGGGCACAGGGCATGCATAGCTGCAGGGAGCAGGAGTGTCACCTCATCCCACTCCTGCCCTAAAAGCTCCACCAGCCTGGAGCCTTGCTGGCATCTCTGCTTTGTTCTGCACCTTAGTGAAGCCTGCAGGGATGGGATGTTATGCTGCAATGGGTGCAAGCCCATGGGGCTGTCATAGGGAGCCTGTGGAGGGTGCTGGCTTCAGTGCTGATTGCAACCCCACTGTCTGCAGGGACAGAGTCCTTTAGAAGGAGAGTTGTTTCAGAGCATTTAGATCAAGATGATAAATTGATGAGTAGTGAGATAGGGCTGTTAAGAGCTTGGCCCGTGGCTGCCTTGTCAGCTGGATTTCAGGCACGATAAGGGACTGACAGAGAGGAGAAATTTGGAGGAAGAGCAAAGGAGGAGGTGGGGCAGTGGGAGCGAGGTGGGGGGATGGCTCTGCTGCTTCCCTTGTGGCTGGCATTGAAATCCCTATGGGCGATGCTGCTGGGAGTGAGTGTGGACTTCTTGTGGAACCACCCCAGGCTGCAGGGCCACTGTCCTCTGCCAGCACCCCCATAACACCTCTGGGTTTGTCTCTTCAAAGCCCCCCAGCACTGCATTTCAGGATGAGGTGGGCACGGTGCTGCTGACCCCCGACTCCCAGGAACATGCCAAGCTGGGACCGGCCGCGGCCCCGCACCCCCATGGCAGTGCTGCATGGAGTGGGTGCCCCTTCAGAGCACCAGGACTGAGCTCCGGGCCCCCCTTGCACCCTCCACCACCCCACCATGCCTCTGGTGTGGCTGCCGGACTGGAGCTGCTCCCTGGATGGGCTGCGGGATTTCATCGCCGCCGGCATCCAGTCGTTCCGGGACTGCGACGGCGGCGCGCTGCTGGCCGTGGGCTGCCTGCTGCTGCTCTTTGTCTGGTACTGCTACCACGTGGGCCGCGAGCAGCCCCGCGCCTTCCCCCCCGTCAACGCGTTGATGCAGGGCGCCGAGGCCAACGGTGTGCAGAACGGCTTCGTCTATTGCCACGCGCCCGAGTGCGCGCGCTGCTCGCCCCACGATGGCCTCAACCAGAAGCTCTACCACAACCTGCAGGAGTACGCCAAGCGCTACTCGTGGTCCGGCATGGGCAGGATCCACAAGGGCATCCGTGAGCAGGGCCGCTACCTCAACAGCCGGCCCTCCATCCAGAAGCCGGAGGTGTTCTTCCTGCCCGACCTGCCCACCACCCCCTACTTCTCACGGGACGCTCAGAAGCACGACGTAGAGGTGCTGGAGCGCAACTTCCAGACCATCCTGTGCGAGTTTGAGAGCCTCTACAAAGCGTTCTCAAACTGCAGCCTCCCGCAAGGATGGAAAATGAACAGCACGCCCAGCGGGGAGTGGTTCACCTTCTACCTGGTGAACCAGGGCATGTGCGTGCCCAGGAACTGCAGGAGATGCCCACGGACTTACCGCTTGCTCGGCAGCCTTCGCACCTGCATTGGCAACAATGTCTTTGGGAACGCTTGCATCTCCGTGCTGAGCCCGGGCACCGTCATCGCCGAGCACTACGGCCCCACCAACATCCGCATCCGCTGCCACTTGGGTGAGTGCCTGGCGGGCGGGCTTTCTGTGGGCTATCCCTGCTCCAGGAGCAGCATGGAGTGTATCCAAGCTGCTCCCGTCCACGCTGGGGTCGATTCTCACCCCACTGGATGTTGCTGTGCGCCCAGAGCGGGACCGGGTGCCACCCTGATGCCAGACCCGGGGCAGGGACAGGGCCATGTGCCAGTGGCTCTGGGTGTCCCCTCGGTGCTCCCAGCCCCATGGGTGCTGGGGAGAGCCCGTGCAGCACAGATGGAGGTGGGGGAGGCACCGCACGGGCGCTGGCAAACAGTGAGTGTGGCTGCTCTGCCAGCTCCCTTTGGGTGAGCGCCGGTGGTGGCTGCCTTTGCTTAGAAGCAGGAGATGGTCTCAGAGCTGATCGGAGGGAGCTTCAGAGCAGCCAGGGCAGATGCGCTCTGTGGAGGGGCAGAGCACAGAACAGGCACAGCTCAGCCAGGTCCTAGCTGTAGGTGCAGGCAAAGTGGGCCCCTCCTTTGTCCTGCTCTCCCCTACATCTCACTCCACCTGCTTCTGGCTGCTATCCTGCAGCCAGGCTGCAGTACTCCCACAGACATCCCCACCTGTTCCAGCTCCTGCTGTGCCCACAGAGTGGTTGCATTTGACCAAGTCCCTTCCAGGTCAGCTGCTCTGCAAAGCAGGACAGCACTCTGCTTAGATGAATTTTTCCAGGTGTTTCCCCAGAATCCAGGGGCCACATATATCATCACCAGTCCTGCTTCCCCAGGGCTGCCTGCCTGCATCCAGACCCATCCAGCTGGAGCTACTGCATAGGGAAATGCATTTGGTTTTTGTAGTCTTTGAAACATACATTAGAAACACCCAGCAGCTTTTGTGCTTCTGGCTCTCCTGGGCAGCTGCAGTCCTTGCTATGCTTGCTTGGATTTGGCACAGAACTCCGCTCTGCTCATTTGCAGCATTTTTACCATTTGCAGGTCATGGGAGCGCTGCTCCTTTCTGCTCCTCAGCTGCATCCTCAGGGCAGGTGACTGCTCCAGCTCCAGCTCCAGCTGCTCAAACGCTGCCATGGGTGACATTGCTGCTGCACAAGATGGTGTTAACAGCCCCCAGGGGCCTCTGCCCTGTGCTGAGCTCAGCATCTGCTGCTCCTGCTCCCTGCGGGGAAGCAGCCCCTTGATACCCCTCAGTCTCTTCTTTGCCCACAGTAAGCAGCATGGAACTCACTGCTCGTGTTTTGGGACTGCTCCCTGCAGGAACTGACCCACCTCTGTCCTCTGTTTGTGCCCAAAGGTCTGAAGACCCCCAGCAACTGCGAGCTGGTGGTGGGGGGTGAGCCGCAGTGCTGGGCTGAGGGTCGCTGCCTGCTCTTTGATGACTCCTTCCTGCACACCGCCTTTCATGAAGGTAAGCACGGGGCTGAGGGCTGCAATCCCCTCCTCCCCCAGTTCTACCCCAGCTTCCTCCCTGTTTCCTGGGACTCCAGCCCCAGACCTGCAGGGGCTGCCCCCCCCAGCAGATAACTTGCGCATCCTGTGGCAGCATAGTGCTGCAAGAGGGTGTAGGGTTGGCTTTGCTGCCTTGGTGCCTGCTGGAGGCTGTTCTGCTTTGCCTCTCCTGCCTTAGCCAGTATTAGTTGCCGATGGCATGGAAGAACGAAGCAGAGCTGCTTCATGCAAAGAAGCAGGTGGGAGAACAAAAGCTGTTGCTCCCACATATTCCCTGCTATGAAATTAGGAAACGCAGCTTATTTCAGAGCCACGGGGATGGGCAAGGGCAGAATAGCACAGCAGCAGCTCTGAGCCACAGCTGCAAGGATGGCACTCAGCACCACACCTGCTGCCCTGCTGTGTGTGACTGCAAAAGAGCAGCACAGGGGCCCTGCAGGGAGCACCCTGCCCTGTGAGCAGGAGGCATAAGGCAGCAATGTACAGGCGGTGCTCAGTGGAGGTGCACTGTGCTGGGCTGCACACAGCAGCAACCTCGCCAAGCACCTCAGTGCTGCCAGCAGGGCACGGAGCAGTGCCTCACCCTCTACCTCATCCCACCCAGGTCCACCAGAGGAGGGTCCCCGTGTGGTCTTCATGGTGGACCTGTGGCATCCCAACGTGGCAGCTGCCGAGCGCCAGGCACTGGATTTCATCTTTGCCCCAGGACGCTGAGATCACCGCCGCGCTGTCAGGGTGAGGGCACCACAGCTCCAGCACCGCCTGTGGACGCTGCCCAGGGCAGAGGCTTCCTCACAGTGCCGGGGTCTCCTCCTGTGGGTCTTGTAAATGGAACCTTCGACGTGTATCTGTGGCATCTCTCTCCTTCCATCAAGGCTTCAGGGATTATTTTCCACCATGGCGGTGCATTGCCTTCTCTCCGTGGTTAGATGCAGTCCCACTCCCATCCGTGTTATGTTGCTCGTGTTTTGCAGTGTTCAGAAGTAGAGTTACAAGGGTGTTTGTTTGAATGTAATAATGTAAAGTTTCCTGTGGTCACCAAAAGGACAACGCTCACATGGCCAAGACAGCAAAGCGGGGCGAAGTGCTGCGCTCAGCCTGCCCCTGCCCAGCTTGCAGCCCCCATGCTGACAGATGGATGGACAGACAGAGGGCTGCAGTGGCACCACAATGGGACAGCACCCCATGGGATGGTACCGTGATGCCCGCTGGCTTGGCTTCCCATTGCCCAGGCAGCACACCCACCCTGCTGAAGGGACGGTGCACGGCCAGCCCTGCTCTGTAACCTCACCTGAGGTGTTACCAATGCCTAAGTGTCCTCCCTGCTTTACCTGCAACCCTTGGTTCTCACAAGTCGAAGCCAGGATGCCCGCAGGGGCAGGTGGCAGTTCAGAGGGACTCTGGTTTGCCGCAGAGAGGGCAGAGAGGAGTGGCAGCCAGCCCTCCTGCTGCTGCTCATCCCTATCCCACAGCCAGGGCTGGGATGCAGAGCCCACGCAGCTGAGAGCACAGCAAAGGTTTCCAGGCTCAGCATCACCCTCCTCCCAGCCCTTCCTAGGGACACAACTGCACTCGTGAACGATTTCTTTACAGATTTTTCAGATTGCAAGATAAGGCAGAGATTTCAAATACATCTGAGATATTTTTTACACCTGTCTTGTTACAGAATATCTGAAGTGCATGATTTCTACACGCATTGATTATTTGGAAAGAGGCTCTGAGGAAGCAGGCTGGCTTGGTAACTGTCCGACAGTTTGGTAACATTCCTACAGTGGATAAGTAAAGATTATCAATAAACCGTTGTGCTGAAAACAGACCAGACTCTGCCTGCTTGTGTAACTGTTCCAGGGTAAAGCAAAACACAGAGGATCTGGATCTTTTCCTGAGCTGGCCCCAGCAGCTCAGCTCGCTGTAAGGAACAAAGCATTGGAAACAACAGGAGCTGCAGAGTGGGAGGAGGTGATGGGCTGAGGCTGAACTGACACGCAGCGAGTGAGGGCACAGCCCCAGCCCCCTGCCCGTGCTATTAGGAAGCACGATGGGCAGCTGCCTGGCAGCTCCCTGCATTGATCCCACCCCTCAGGTCCCTGCTGCCCTGTGAAGCTGGACAGCTGACTCCAGCCAGCCACCAGCACTGCCCCTGCCAAATGAGCACCAGGAAACCACCACAGAGATCCAGCGCTCTTCAGGCTTGACAGAAGGGCTTTCCAAAAGGAGAAAAAAATAAATAAATTCCCCAATCCACATTTTGGAAAACATGTGCAGCTGCCTGCAGTGACACATCAAGGGCAGCAAGCAGCCTCCACAGGAGCAGCTCTAGGATGCCGTGCTGCCTTTCACACGACATTTGCCGTCCTTCTGCACAAAAGCCAGTACCCAATACAACCCCTCCAGCCCCAGGGCAGCTTGGCACTGCTCAGCAACAACCCTGACCCCGTTAGAAAGACATGGCCAGAGCAGCAGCTGCTCCTCATCATTGCACTTTAACATGACCCTTCTAATCATCCTCTCTCCCATGCAACCCTTAAGCCTGGAACACTTTACTATCCTACCATAAAGACCACATTCCTCTTAAGCAAAGCCCTGGAGGCAATCCTGGAGGCCAGATGCAGCTCAAGCAGTGGAACACAACGGAACCAGCCCAGCTGTTCACTGCTAACAGACGGCACAGCAGATTGCAGCAGAAGATTCCTGAAGGCATCTATGCTGTGCTTCGCTGCTGTGCCAGAACTCTCTCCCATCCCTCTCAGGCTTTTCCTTCAGCTCCGTGCCTCCTGATGGAGCACAGAGCATTGCAGGAGCTCAGCCAGGAGGGAGCTGACAGCACCGTTCAGGTCACCCAACCCCAACACGAGCCACAAACAAGGCAGAATGAGCAGGACTCTGGGCGCCGACACAGAGCTCTTGGATGAGCCTCAGACTTTTATTTTCACAGTGATGTGCATGTACGTAGCAGCAGCAGCCTCAGAACACAGCACAGTCATGGCAGGATTCATCACTCAGGGCTAGCAGCCACCACTGCCTGTCCCACCCCAGCAAGTCACTGACCAGGGGATGACAAGCAGAAAGACAGCAAGTGCCAAGGAGCTACAAAGCCTCTTTGGTCTCATCAGCTTAAGGGGCTGGCCCCTACCTTCTCAGCCAATGGAGTGCAAACAAACAGAAAGCCAGGAGGTGAAGCATGGTACTCCAACAGGAGGGGAAGGACATGGCTGGCTGAGGAGCAGAGGGTTGTAGTGCATCCAGAGGTTTGCAGCACCTTCCTGCTTTCTGGTGGGTAGCTTGGAGGGAACACTGAGCAGGCATGGGCAGAGGGACAAGGATTTGCCAAATGCAGCTACAGAATAAAACCTACTGACAGCTACTGGAGGGGAGTAAGGAATTTTGCAGCACTTGTTCTATTCCAGTTAGTCAGCTGGCAAGCTATTAATCAAGATAAGGCACTATGTTGTAGCAGGGAATCATTTCTGTAGATAAAGAGGTATAAAAAAAGCCCCAGTCTTACCAGGACAAACACAGTAACAGAACTCAAGGCGAGTGCAGGGTTTGAAAGCAAGCACTGCCCAGTAATTCACTGTCCTGTGTAGCTCAGAGCAAGGAGAGGTTCTACTTTTGGTCAAGGCACTCTGTGAGCCTGTCTGTAGTGGCAGAGCACCACAAGGAGTCCTACAAGTCAACGTAAACTGAACACCCCAACACAGCTATTTTCTATCTTCAGTCTTTGGTAAGTGCTAACATCAATGACATCATGCACCACGTGCTGCAGGAGCAGGGCAATAAGAGTGCTCCTTCATCAGAGCAGGCTGGAGACCACAGGTAGCACAGAGCACGGTGCTTACAGAACAAACAGCTTTGAGAATTTGGTTCCTGGAGATGAACCAGCTTTCATTATCGCTGAGATACGCTGCCTCGGTGCATCAGTTCAAAGTAGGTTCACTCCATGCTTCAGCAGCTTTTGCTTGGCCTTGTTAGGCAAGCTGAAAGCACTGTCCTGAGGGTTGGGAGCACCCGAGTTGCGGAGAGGAGCACCCAGCTGCTGGAAGTAGGTCTCCTGGACGGGGTTCCGGCAGGCATACACTGCTGTGGAGGCATTCCTGGTGAGACAGGACAGAAAGCAGAAGTCAGGACTTACAGTGTTGTGATCACAGTGCTGGGCACTGGACTCCCACCTAGTTAGGACTTCAAGATCCATCTAAACCCTGCAAAGTATTGCCAGAAGGCCACAGGGAATCAGACCGTCCTTCTGAAAGGACTAGATCCTAAAAGGAAGGGTCATATATCCCTCACAGCCTGTGATCAGCTCAGCAGCACTAACACCTAACTCACTGCTGCTGTCCATAAGCACATCACCCTGCAGCAGGAACCACAGGAGGTTATTTAGTCACACCCGTGATGAAACCAAGACTCTGATCAGATACTGTAACCAAACAGGCTCAAGTCATTGAGTAAAAAGCCAGCACTCAGTGTTTACCTGTGAGAGAGCTCAGAGGAAGCAAAGCAAAGGACTCTGCATTCCTCCTTGACAGCGGAAAGCAGCAACTGATGTGTTTGCTGACACCCTCCTGTGACAACTCTCCATAAGAGAAAGCAGTTTTAGTCATCTTGTTACTCAGTCTGATTCACACACACAGTTGCTTTTTTTGGGGCAACACAGAATGCGCCAGCTTACCCAGTATCAGATTTAAGGAGCCAGTCAATCTAATGCTAAACAAGGAGTCTCCAGCACTGGAGTATATGATTCACATTCCCTTGGCAAGCATCATAAAAAGTGAAGCAGAAATTCCCAGAAGCATCTTTATTTCATCACGTTTTGGACAAACAAGCATGACCAAGCAAGCAGAATCTCTGCTCACACAACATAACCACTTTCCTTGAGGATGCAGGAGCACAGAGTGCTGCAGCACAGAAGCAGCCTCAGCTGTGGCTGCGTGGAGAGGCTCTGACTGTGATAAGACCATCTTGCTTGGCGCATCACAATCGAGTTTGCCACGCACATTACTGTGTGTTTCCAACTCAACAAGCCGTACAAGAAAACAAAATCTAGGTTGCCAGTTCTGTGCGCCTTTGGCTCGCAGCCGAGACAAATTTATTAGGAACAGCTATATTTAAAACTGTCTCTTAGAACCTTATGGTGCCAGGATCTGATAATATTCTAGTATTATATCTTAATCCAAACCCATGGCAAAACTCAGCTGTGCCTTCAGCTCACTCACATCAGTGCCATTTTAGCTTACTAGCACCCAGATCACACTACAGGCAGAATATTAAGCACCCTGTATCTGAAGAGCAGCGTGCTTAATAAGGAATGAGGGAATAAGGTGACACGACTAAGCACTGGTTAGAGACTCCACTGCGATGACTGCACTTGCCAGACCTCAGCCAGCAGTGCCAGAGAACACTGATGCAGCACTCACCTACTTCATACGCTACACAGCAGCTCTGTGCCTAGAAGAGGAGGGAGTAATGAACACACCTTACCTTACAATCACTTCTGAAACAGTTGGAAGCTGATTGAAGTCGGAGTGGATCAGCGTGGCAGCCCTCAGGAAGTGCCGATCCAGTGGGCCAGGTGGATGGGGCACATTGGCTGCAGGACACAAGCAGGAGGGTGTTAGAAGCCCATGCTATGAAGAGTGCTCCTATTTTCCAAGCAGGAAAATGCTGTGGATTTCTCCTACATTCCCTGTGTATCAGCAGAGCAGAGTGGATGACACCCTAAGTGCCAGTGTGACCTCAATATCCAGTAGCTGCATATTGCTCAGCCACACACAAAGCCTGGGGTGCTGGAGTGCCCCGCTGCCTCTGCCCACCTGTACCCAGACTGCAGGGGTGCAAGGAAGACCTGAGGAGTGGTCACCTGCAATCACTGGGGTTTCTCTCATTCCCTAGGGTGATTCTTCTAAGCTGCAGAGAGCCAGCCTGCTGTCTGGGAGGCTGCCAGGAAAAGGGAAATATGAGAATGAACAGGAGCAGTTTGTGCATGAGGCTTCCTGCATGCACATGGTCTGCCATCAGCCCAGGACAGCATTCTTTCAACTGCTCGCTACCAGCAGCTCCCAGATCTTGCTTCTCCCAGCTAGAAATGACTTAACACTGCTGTACCACCACTTGGGGCCATTTCTTAAGTGTCAGCTGCACCAACTTAGCAAGCAGTGTGTCTGAAAAGCCACTTGAAATATGAGGAAAGGTTACCACAAACCCCAAACAGTCCATCAAGTGCAGGCTTACCTGTGAGCACATTCTGGATGCAGTCATAGTGAGTGAAGCTGTAAGTTGCCTTGGCTGAGGACAGAAAGTCTTTGGGCAAAGTCTCCCTCAGATGAACCTCGAGGCCATTCAGAGAAGCCAGACTGCTGTGGTACTGTATACAGGGTAAAAGGCATATGTTAGAGCAGACGTGTAAGGAGGCAGCGTAGGGAGCATGGTGACTGATGCCCATGTCACAGGGATCAGAGCCTTCCTGCTGCTGTCCAGGCTCCCACCAGAACTGTGGTAACATGGGCAGAAGGAAGCAGTGAGACGGGGACTCAGAAAGGGCACCTCAGCCTGGAAACAAGCCATTAAATCCCCTGATGCTATCTGCAACAGGAAGACACCATTAATTTTATCATCAAACTTCACCCATCCGGGGCTCATTTTTATATCCTGCCCATGACTTTCTGCAGCACAGAACATTGCTCTGCTGTTCAGCTTTATACCAGAAAGATACAACACGACATGCAGATGTACACGTCTGGGATGGATTGAGGTGCCTGCAGGGTTTCCTGCTGCACCCTCTCTGTACCCCTATCCTCTGTATTAGGATATATACTCCTAATGCCCTCTGCCTGGGCATGGAGGCTGCCAGCAGGCACTGGGTTATCAGTAGAAGGGAAAAAGCAAATAAATGCATAGTTTACCTGAAGGCAGAGACAGCCCAGCAGGGAGCTACAGACCTGAGTGAGACACATGCACACACCAATGCAGTAGCACACAAGGCAGGGGATGGGAGCAGGGCAGCTCTGTGAGGGCCTGGTGCTCCCCACAAGGCTCTGGACCAGCAGTAGGACTGCAGCCCCTGTGCAGCAGGCAGATTAACTCCATTATCTCCCTAATCCTCCACCTCGCTCCCTCCCCAGCTATGTAGAGGATCAGGCCTCCACTTGGCACAACACAGGGCCTGCCCTTGACCCCAGGTTGCAGGACAGATCTGCTTTTCTATGCAATGAAGAAAAGGGATAACAGCCTAGAGCCTACACAGCCACACACCAGGACAAGGCTCCTGCCTGCTCTGCAGCGAAGGTCTGTGCTAGGAGCCACTCCCTGGGGTCTGGTCTGTGCTGCCTGCTGCTTGCAGCTGCACAAGTAGCATATTTTACCCTTCTTTGGTGTCATTCAGGGACCTCAAAGCACTCGACAAATTAACTACAACTAAGCTTTGACAACCCTGTGAGCTGAGGTTCATTTTTAATCCACAGATAAACAAAGGAACAGAGAGGCTGAGGTGGTGCCTCATGCCCAAGCACGATGCCAGCAGCAGCCTGCAAGGTCCCAGCTCTGTGACCTGGAGCAACACGCTGTTCCTCCTGAGACAGCAGGACTGGCAGCACATCTCCTCCAGAAAGCAGCACTTGAACGAGCTGAGTGACAAATTGAGCCAGGGTGGGCCCACTGTGCTCAGTGCCAGTCGTTCTCAGGTTTTGATGGGGAAAAAGACATGTAATGCATGCCTGTCACCACCAGTACTAACCCAATCTGCACCAGGAAGGACCTCCAGCTCTCAAGCCAGCAGCCCCTACCTGCTCACAAATCGCAGCCTCCTCCCTTCACCAGAGCAGGCACGGCACAGCAGGAGCTTTGCAGCCCTGTTCCAAACAACCAGAATGGAGACAGGGCAACCTGACACAGGTGCTGCAGGAGGCTGGCCCCTGCAGTAATCCTTCCTCTAGCAAGGCAACCCCTCTGTGCCATGCATCCCTCTGCATACAGGGGTAACAGACACAGCCCCCCGGGTCTCAGAGCTCAGAAGCAAAGAGTAACCTTGAGGCTCTGCCAATGCTGGGAGGCAGCATTAGTCTGAGCTCTCCTCCACCTTCCAGTCTGACAACTAAAGAAATGAGGTTGTTCCTATGGCAACTGGCATATCAAACAGGCCTCTGCAGCTTTGACTCAGCTTCCTGGCTGAGGCAGAGGCAGGGCATCGCTCTGCAGACGAATACTTCACAGAGAAACGCCAGGAGCAGGCACATCCTTCCCCCGCACCATGAGCAGCTCATTAACTGCACTGCACTGCTCAGCAGGGAGCTGCACACAGCAGTGGAGGCATCCTGGATCGCTCCAGTGCCTCACCTACATTGATGCGTGCTCTAGTGGCACCCATCACTCCTGCTGCAGGTCCCTGGGTAGGGGGAAGTGAAAGCGAGGGGAGGTGAGGAATGATCAGGCAGGTGGGGAGGGGTCCAAGCAGGCTGGGAGGGGATTCTAGCCAAGCAAACTCATCTAGAGAGAAAGCACTACTTGGAGCTGCTGCCAGATACGTCTTGCTAGTGCCTCCAGACAGAAGCTGCGGCACACAGTGTGGAAGTTAAACAGAGAACACACCTTGCTTTCCAAAAAGCACTACAGAACTGTCAGTGTTTCCAGCAAATCCCAAAAGCAGCATGGCCCCCTGGCAGCCAGCAGGGCTGTCTCACGCTTGCACTGACACGTTCTGCTCAGGAGTGTTGCACGGGTGCTAACACACAATAACAGCTCCGGGTGCCACCCGTGACAGCGCTCCCACCTCTCAGGCTGGCTCCTCACGCTCACTAACAGATCTGAGTTCTCTCTGCTTGTGGTGACTGCTCAGCTAAGTGACACTGCCTTTCACGCCACAAAGGGTGTAAGAGATCCCACCCTACCACAAGCCCAGCAGCTGTGAGATCTGCAGGTGTGGAGGATGTTTCTTACTTACCACATCCTCAATTGAGCTCTGGTCATCTCGGAGGCGATCTTCAGCTAGCAGAGAGAGCACGAGCCCCTTGATGCTGTGGACATACAAGCTCATCTGAATGAACTTGCAGTTCTTGTCTGACTGCGTGCCCTGAGCCGCCGGGCTGCCTGCCTGAGGCCAGTCCTGCTCCCCACTCTGAGTACAGCCTGTGTTCTCTGCTGGGGCACTGGGCAGCCCCTCCTGAACGTCCACAGCCACTGACTGATTCTTGCTTCCGAGCTCAGACTGTGAAACAGGGGTTGGGCGATCCAAATTCCAACTACCACTGGCTGCATCACTTTCTGCACAGATGCTATTTTGGCTCAGAGTCCCTTGTTCGTCTTGTTCACTCGACTTCCTTCTGCTCAGCTCTTGGGCAGCAGAGCAGGTAGTTGAACCTGCACTGTCTGCAAGACAGCTCTGAAAACTGTGTTGTTCAACATGAACAAGAGATTCCTGAGTGCTCTGACTCTCCTGTTCCTTGGCATATGGGTTTGGAAAGGAAAAACCTTCCAGATATGAATCTGTTGTTTGAGCATACTGAGCAGTATGGAGATTGGAAGGGCTCAGCAGCTCTTTTTCGTGTCCATCTGACGAGAAGGATGCTTTTCTACTGAGCTCTGACCTTTTGTTGCCTGGGTTGCTCAGTTCTGCTTTTGGAGAACTCTTTTTCCTGGCTTCCAATTTGGGGGAGCCCTTCGAAGGAACTGTGTTTGCAAAGCTGCCTGATTGCACGACATCTTCTGGTGTGGCCGTGCTTAAAGCTTGCTCAGTGAGCACAGAGATATCATTCAGGCCTCGGTTTATGTGAATTCCTGTTGATTCTGAAATTGCTGGGGAGCTGAGAGCGTTCTTCTCTCCTCTAGGGCTTGCTGGGGCCATGGTTGATCTAGCAGGAGATGACAAATTGATTAAACTACTGCACTACTCTGTGTGGACTTATATACCTAATAATTTTTATCACTTCCAGCTACAAAAGAACATCTACCTTGGTAAAGGACAAGGTATGTTCTAACACAGGTGAAAAGCATGGGTCTCTTCCATTGCAAACTCCTAGGAATGTTACTCCCTTATTCACAACACACAAAATCTTAAAGAACAGCACTGCGAATCGAGAAACAACGGAACAGTTGGTCTTGGAAAACAGTTTTGCTTTAGGCCGCTTCACAGCAGACATACGGACACCTGAAATCCTATCCAGCCTCAAAGGCCTCAGGCAACTTCAAAACACAGATGCTACAGCCTGAATTAAACGTTTTAGAAAACAACAGCAATGGCTGCGAAGATTCGGCGCCACACGTCGCCCCTTGCCCTAAAAGCCTCTCTATGATCACACTGCTCTCCTACCCATTCATCCACTCCACTCGGAGCACTGAGATCTCATCTTCTGTCAGGAACACCGGGACGATTCGGACACCCTGCGGCAGCACAGAACCTGCAAGGGCAACGGAGGTCTGAGAATTACATCAGCATGCCCTGTCATACAGAACAGAAGCTCGACTCCACCCTGTGTTCTGGGCCACCACAAGATGACTGGGTCTGACTAGATGGCAATTTCCCATTCTCTTCATCTACTTAGTATCTAAAATGACACATTTTTCCCTTTTTCTTTTTTTTCCCCCTCTCCAACTGTCCTGGCAGAATATCTATTAACCGATGCTCAAAAGCAACAACTGAAGACTTGGACTGAAAGCATCAGCCATCTGTTTTCAGGGTTCCATCGGTGGCCAAGTAGACACATGGGTAACTGGAATAAAAGCAGGCATGTTGGGCATCTGCAGAACTCACAGTTAAACTCAAAAGAGCAAACCTCCTTTGTTTAGCTGAAGGATCTAGCTCTGATTACACAACGCCCACTGGCACATGCTGACTAGCAGCAGCAGTACCCCCAGGGATATGCTCATGCATTCAGCAAGAGCTCTGACACAAATCCCAGCAAACTGCCTCATACTCTCACTGCAGGGAACACAGCCCAGAGGGTTGCCATACGCTGCTGCTGGGCGCTTGACTATCAGCACTCCGCAGCTGGATGCTCACCAGGCTCCTGCTGCTCCTCACCTCCAGGCTCACTCTGAAAGAAAAGTCAAGAATCAGCCCTAGGACAGCCCTTTCAGTCTCCTCACAGAACAATGAGTGCCCTGTTTGAGACTACAACAGACCCTAAACCACCCTCTTCAGCAAATGCAGTCATCAGTTTACCAGGCTTGACAATGGTTTGCTCTTGAAGTAGCTCTCAAAGTCAAAGAGACTTCCCAAGAAACAAAATACAGCTGGGAAAAATACCATGATCTCCCATTACTGCCTACTGGAGAGCATAAAATCTTGGTTCTCTCAACCTGAGGGAGAAGAGAGGTCTTCCTCATGCTCAGTCTTGATATTTTTGGAGATCTTGAGCCCTATAATTACCAGTGATAAAGGCAATGAGAAGCAATCTATTTGTCAGTTTCAGATGCTCATTTTGGATACTGAGCACTAAATTCCCAAATTTGGGTAAAACATTAATCAAAAAATCACACAGATGAGAATTCATGAACTCAGATTGAAAGCAAAATTCCTAGTGCCATGAAACCTTACTCAATCTTAATAAAAGCTCTAATCATCAGCATCAATATGTTCTTCTCCATAACTCCACATAAAAATCTATGTGATGAGCTCCTAGTTTATCTACACAAGCATAAATGTTGGCAGAGAATGCTCAGCAACATACCTGGCCTGAAGACTCACTGCCCTGGAGGAGAACTTTAGCAGTGAGAGGAGGTGGCAACTGGGTGCTCACAATCCTAGAAGAGCCAAACAAAGTCATACATGAGCAGAGTCATACTTGCATCTTGCTGAGATCCATGTTCTGCAGATCCTCCAAAAGGCCCTGAAGGAGGGGAAGTTTCACTCCAGCACAAAGCCCTCTGCAGCACTGCAGTAATGCTCAGAGAACACTGCCAACGTTTGCTTATAAAACAAAGAATTAAATCTCATGCAAACAGAACAGCAGCACAGCACGATGCACTCTGGGAACACAGTCCTGAGAAAGCATGGATGGAATATGCAGATTTAACATGCAGGTTAACTGAGTCATGCCTGGTTACTTACAAGCCTTTGTAGATAATGCAGCCTGCCAAGACGTGGGGAGACCGCTGGCAAGTCTGCAGGATGAGAGCTGCTTTCAGTAAAAGCAGTGGGTCCACCTAGACACAGAGAGCCAGAAGTCATGCCAGAAAGCTCTTAGAAATACTCCAAATGGCAAAAAACAAAAACAAACCAACCAGAAATATTAGCACTAAGGCACTGATAGAGCTGTGCACTGCAGAGGACAGGCTTTACCTTGGTTTTGTCCAGATTCCAGAGAGAATTGAAAATCTTGTGGAGGTCATTGGTGCTTTTTTGGATATACTCAATGTATTTGTCCCACAGCCTGTTTAGCTCCTCCTGAGAGAACTCCTATGGACAACAAAAATCCACATGGCTATCAGTTCATTATCCTCACTGCACTCAAATGGCTACATGTGATCAGTCTGGGACAGCATCTACAAATGGCAAAGCTTATGAGCATCAGGAGGAAAACAACATGGGGAGAAAACTAGCTCATGAACATCTAGTAAACACCTTGCAAACATTTACACAGCCTTAGTGGAATAGGAGGATGGGCCTGTACATATCCAAGGATTATGATGTGAGAAGTGTGAGCTTAGTCTGATCCTTACAAGTAGGAAGACTGTAAGGGAGCACAACAGAATGTCTGTACGAGGACACAGCTTGGCCAATATAGAAAGGGTCAGAGATCTCCTCCTAGCCACAAACATCACAGCTACTGATCCTTAGTTACCATGTAAGCCTGGTGCACAGATCCATTGTAGAATGTGAAGAGGCTGATCAACTGCTCCAGAAACCGTCTACAGCTGATATCAGGGAGATCAACAGCACAGCCCAGCACCTTTAATGCAGAAAGCATTGAATGATGAGCATTCTCTGGGAAAACCCACAGACAACAGATGAGAATAACTTATACTTCTCTCAAGTGAGTATCAAAGCTACACAAGCAGTTTTGTAGCAGGCAAACAATCGCCAGGTTCACAAGTCAAATGAAAAGGAAATCCAAGAATACCCACAGAAGAGCTCTGGCACAGACGAGGTGAGTGAAAGAAGCTGGCAGAGCAGTGTTTTGACACACCCTCCCTTTCCATCACGTCAGATGACCTCGCTCACTGCTAAGTAAGCTGAATGGCACTGCCAGTTAAACAGCTTCAACTGGCCTTAGTCCAGTTCCCCAGGGATGGTTTAGGGCACTTTTGTCATGGCTTTACTGCACACAGCTCTTTACACACTAAACATCTGTTAACGCTGACAAAGCCCTGCAGCAGGAATGCTGAGGGTTAAAAGGTCAAACAGCAACACTTCTACACGGGGAGACCAAGTCCTTTCTATGAGCTCTGGCACACAGGCTTCTGTCCAGTCGTTGCCAATAGCCCATAGATGTAACTACAAAATATAAACTACAAAAGCCTCTAGTTTTGATTGATGTTGCCAGGTGCATATTAAGAACACACATTGGTTGTGAACACACGGATGAGGTACGTGAAGCTTTTTAAGAACAGCTGAAGTGATCGCCCTTACACGTGCTTACACGCTGTGGTAAACAAAACCTAAGTTACCTTGCAATGAAAAGTTGTGCATTGCAAGTTCACACCCTAGCTCTCCCCAGGTCTATCTGTGAGCAGGCCCATACCCTGAAAAGAAAAAAAAACCCTCTTAGTTTCATACAGCAGTTCAGTCCTCCTCCCTGCGTTAGTTCTGTAGTGCCTCCAGACCCCAGGACTCACCCAGAGATAGTCTCCATCCACTATAACTGCAAACTTGAGCTTTCTCAAGCGAATAAGGCTCGGAGGAACTCCTGAAATCTCAGTCATGCAGCGTACCACTCCAGCAATCTGTCCACACAGCAGCTCCTGCTGGTCAGGGAGAGTCTAAAGGGGAGGCAACAACAATTTATTGTCTTCCTTTTTAAAAGGGACTGGGAAAGAAAAAAAATCACAACTACATTCATAAATTCAATATCACATGCAGTAGCAGAGGCAAATCTCAGCACTGCTGGCAGCTGCAGCCGTGAAAGCAGTGTGTGGGTATTCAGCAGTGCCATGGGCAGCTCTGAGCTCCAGGCTGCGCTGTCCTCTCACCCAGCTCCAGCCCCAGGAGGTTTTTGAGAGCTTTTACAAACACCGAATGAGAACTAAGCCAAAGTTCCACCTGGAAATCCCGAATCAGAATTATCAGCATGTTTTCACAGAGGCACCCACGTACAGGAGCCAAAACAAACGCAGCCCTTACCTGAGAAGGATAAAAATAACAAATCCCAGCGCTCGTAGGATCCCCCTCCTCCTTAACCTTGGAGCCATCGTAAAGGAAGAAGTAATTCCACCTAGAAAACAAAGCATTGGCAGAGATGATTGAAACGCTTGGAAAGCACCACGTTTCTTCCCCCGTCGCCTCAGGTACAGCACAGGCTGTTACACGAGGCTGTTACTCCGCACAGAAACACCGCGATGGAAAAGCAGCACAGAATAGTGCCACGTTATTAAAAAGGTCCCCGCAGGGCAGGGCATTCCCCGGATGAAGAAGATTCGGCCCGCCCGAGGGTGCCACCCTGCGTGAGGGCAGCGGGCAGCTCCCCCTCCGTTCCCGCACTCCCCCTGGACCGCCCGCGCAGCGCTCACCACGGGGCCGGGCCGTGCTGAGACAGAGCCATGAGCGCTGCGGCCTGGGGCGCAGTACCGCCAATCATATGAATCATATGACCGCACCACGTGACCTCAAAACTACGGCAGCCCGAGAGGGGCAGCGTGATCACGTGAGCGCGCCCCTACGGAGGCCGGGAGGGGCCGCATGGCGGCGGCGGCGGGCGGGTGGCGCGCAGCGAGCGGGCGGCGGCGGCGGAGGAGGGCGAAAGAGAAAGAGGAGGATGGCAGTGCCGCGGTGCTGAGGCGGCTGCGGGACGCGCGGTGAGTGCGGGGCGCGCGGCGCTGCTCTTCCCCCTGCCGAGCCCCGCTGACGGTCGCGTTTTCCCCCGCAGGGACGAGCTGCTGAGCTCCGGCTTCTGGGCGGCGAGCGCCGGTGCGTGCAGGGCGGCGGCGAGAGGAGGAGGAGGGCGGGGGCTGACGGCTGTCCCCGTGTCCGGAGGAGCCGTGCGGGAGCCGTTGGGCTCGGGGCCGGCTTGGCGCTGCGTGTGCTACGGTCTGGGGCGGTTCGCTGCCTGCCCCGCCGCCCGGCTGCAGCTCGCCTTCCTGCTGCTGCTGCTCGAGATGCTGGCGGTAAGCGGCCACCGTGCGTGTACCGCCCACGTCCCGTCCCACGTGCCGCTGTCCGCGCGTGTCCCTGTCCCACGCACGTCTGTGCCCCTCAGGTGCCACCCAGCAGCTGCTTCCTCTTCGACCCGGCCTTCTCAGAGCTGGAGCTGGCAGCGCTGGAGGCACTGGGGCTGCGTCTGCTCCCAGAGAATGAGGTAAGGACCCCATCCCAGCCCCGTGTGCCCGAGCTGTGTCCGCACCGTGACCACACCACCCCCAGGAGGGCAAGCACAGCGTAAACGGATCGCCGACGCTGTTCTACATGGTGCACTGCGGCAAGGCACTGTACAACAACCTGCTCTGGAGGAACTGGTCTGTCCATGCTCTGTCCAACATGGTCATCATTGGCAACAGCTTTAAGGGAATCGAGGAGAGGTAGGTACAGCAGGTACAGCCCTACGACCTGCCTCCAGCATTGTTTTCCACTCCTTGCTTTCTTAGAACACTTCTTTCTAATGCTTCCACGAGGGACTTCCACATGGTCTTCAAAGTTTTGCCCAGTTTCAGCTTGCTGTCACAGTTGCAGTCATCAGCAGTTTTTTCTTACCTTTTCTTCTTCTCATGGGCACGTTGTGATTCTAATGCTAGTTTACCTCTTTTTTTATTAATAGGTTGTTATCAAGAATACTGGAGAGAGATTACTCTTACATTGCAAAGGTAGGAAGCACGAAAGCTTTTTAAACACAGCAATATGTTTTGCATTGACTTTTTAACAAGAAGGAGCTTTAAATATTTTAAATATAACCTCAAAGATGAAGGTGGTTGTTTTTAAAGTCCGGGATCATTTTATTATCTGCTGAACACACTGCAAAGAAGGCTACAGTTAACACAGCACTCCCATCCTCACATAAGCTTGCACAAAAGTTCTTTTGCTTTGTATGTGTTTTCCCAACTGCTCTTAGATTTTAAAAGGGGTGGAGGAAGTTGCCCTCCCTGCTCACCCTCGGTACTCGGATACCTTCAATGACACCTCCATCCACTGGTTCCCTGCTCACAAACTGGAGAGACTCTCTGCTGAAGTTTGGGAGTTCGTGGAGGAGCCGACTTACAAGGAGTGTGACGACTTGGAGATCATCAGGAAGGGGGAGGAAGGGAGCCATCATGGCCCTGTCCCAGTGCAGCTTTAACTGCTGTCTCTTCCCTCAGTCATCCTGCACAGCTGAGGTGATGCTCAAGCACTGACAGTGCCCTCGCCATCTGCCCTAAGTGGCAGCACCTGAACGCTGAGCTTGAAGGGACGTTTTTGTATCATAGTGATTTTTTAATAAAAGTGAAAGCTCTGCTTTGACTTACGCTCACTGAACTGCAGCAAATTCAACTAAAAACTGCCTTTTAAACCATCCATACTGCATAACATTTGCTCTTTTGATTTCTTTCCTTCTGTGAGCGATTCAAAGCCCACGCCTCTGCTGTGCACATTTTGAAGCATCCAGAAGGGCAAGAGAGTTGTGGGGTGTGTAGCTGAAAGCTTTAGAAACTAGTTCCTAACAGACTTACAAAAGCTTTTTCACAGGCAGGGGACTTCAGCTGTTCAGTGCTACTAAAAAAGCTCTTCAGCCATTCCTCTGTGAAGAATCAGGCCATTTCCCTCTAGGAAAAAAAGCCTCAGTCACCATTCTTCCCTAACATCCCTTGAGCTACTGAGTTCCCATGGCAGATTTTAATGTGCTGGAAAGAATTTCCCTTCCACCTCTGGTTGGATAGGGCTGAGAGGTGAGCCAAGTCCTGGTGGCATTCGGTAGAGAAGGGGCTGCTGTGTGCAGGACACCATTGAGACAGTAATTACCACTGCCAGGGCAGTGCAGCTGTCAAGGAGAGAATCTGTTGGTGGAGCCTTTGAGGCTGATCTGTGTTGGCCCTGCTTTGAGCAAAGAACAAGTGCCAGCAGTTCCTTCTAGCCCTCATTTGTCTAGTGGTTTGAAACAATTATTGCTGAGTCTGTACCACAAGTGGCAATTACACAAGCATCAGAACTGCTTGTTCCTCCCTTTGCACCAGCTTCCATGTATTATTTCACCTCTAGACACTGTTGGAACAGCCAAGAAAACAATCCTGACACACAGCTGAAGTTCCACTATTTACAAATCTGCAACGTCTTTATTCTAAGACAGTAACACTAAAAATATGAGCAAGATCACCTTCACAGTTCCAAGCAGGAGCCTCACTTGGCCATATCAATGAGACTCTGGAGAGAGGTTGGCACCCAGGTCTTTTCTCCCTGTACAAATACAACACCTCTGTCAATGTAAATCACAATCCGTCCAAACGTGTATAACTGCTTCCCTTCGTGCCGCTTTCCGATCACAGGCATGAAAACAATGTTGTGTTCCTCTGCTTTTGTCTGAATTAGGTCCTTAAAATTCATTGGCACAGAGCTGGCAGCCACTCCTATGCCTCGCTGAGCCATGTTCTCAGCCTCTCGTCGCTCCTGCATGGCTTCGTACTGGAAGTCTTTCCTCCTCTCCGTGTGAGTGAGGTATGCAATGTTCTCCCGGGCACCTGGCTGCATGTAGCCACCTGGTGGGGAGAAAAGAAGTGTGAAAACCACATGCAAAGTCCATGGGGAAACTCCAGTCCAAGATGCATGAAGTATTAAATGCAGGGAGGCTGAGCCGCAGTGTTCTGAATCATCCTTCACATGTTTTTATTGCTTGCATTTACAGTGTTCATGCAAAGTTAATACAAAGGCTACCTAGATGAATCAGAAAACAGTAGCTACAGTTACAGCATCGAATAGGTCCCAAATCTCAGCATGCACAGGAAAGGATGCTGCACTGCTACTGACAAAGGATGAAAGCAAATACGCCACAAATAAGCCACCTACCAACACTGGAAGAGACAGCCCGGTTCATGATGTCAAGAGCTTCATTAAATTTGTCTTTGATTGATGGATGTGCCAACACTTGGTCTGAGAACATGGACTTCCAGCCCAAGTACCACTTCGTGATCTCCTCGTAATTGGGGCTATTACTAAGCCAAGAGCACAGCACCTGCAAAACGACAGGGTGGGTATATTTGTGGAAGCCCTTATTATTAGCCTGTTCATGACTCAGCTTTCACTTATTAAAAATAAAAAATGACCATAGCAGTCTTAGAAAGAAGCCTGGTCTGATGCATATGCAACTCTGATGAAAAGTACTCAATTTAGCAGTTAAACCATTTCAGCAGCAGAACAACAATTATTAGGTCAGAGTCACAGAAACACTTTGCTTTGAATCACATCTGTCAGAATTACTCAGCCTTGTTCCTCACCTGCAGCCATTTTGGGAAGAAGTGTTTCTCCAGCAGCCCAACAAGACTGGAAACAGAAATCATTCCCTCCCAGTCAATCACCCAGTAGAAGGCATCCATGTGCTGCTGATGAGGGTTTATTATAAGTTCATTCAAACACATCCCTAGAAAAAGGGCAAGAACAGTTACAGGAGTACCTGACTTACCAGTGCCCTGACCTATCTCATAATGATGTAAATGTGAGGAGCAACTGTATTGCACTGCATTACCTCCAGGATCTTTCAAATGTTTGGCTGATCCCTGCCACCAAAACAATACGATTCCATTTCCCTCAATTACAATCTACAGCCAAAACTGAGAAACTTCAAACATTCAGCTTTTTCTCTTTTTCTTTGGACCAGACTGCAGAGCTGAATGAGGAATTGCAAATCTCACAGTGAAACCTTCAGCAAAGGCAAAGAATGAAAACGCCTCTCCCTTGTCTCACCGAGTTTAGGCACAATGTTCTTCACCATGAAAGCCTCCCATGACCCAGGTGTGAACACATCCTTCCAGGGCTGAAGGATAAGTTTGGCTGAGGAATCACTGGGATGCCATTTCTGCAGTGCGTTCGCCAGCTTGTTTCTGATGGGAGAATAAAGAGGCTCCAATCGTGCCTGCATCAGGGGAAGCCAGGGGTGGATCCAGGAATGGATTGGGACTGTGTCTGTCAAAGGATTCCAGTTTTCAACCTTAAGGCAAAACACAGAAGAGATTTAATTTCCTACTGGCACAAAGACTTCCCAGGTGCAAATAACCCCCTAACTCCAAAATACATTGACAAGGGCAACAAACTGGTATTGTGGAAGCTGCAGTTGACTACAATTCCAATAGTGGTTCAAAATAAGGTTTCATTCTAGTACAGCTCTCTTCACTGACCTCTTTCTGTAGCTTGGGGAAGATGAGCTGATCCAGAATGTTATCCAGTATCCACACAGGAATGATGTGTACCCAACTATCCAGGAAATCCACCATTGACCCACAGTTCCTTGGCTGCCACTGTGCCACTATGTTTCTGACATATGGCATCCAGATTTCCCACATCAATCTGGAAAAAATAAAGAAATCAAAACTAAGCTTAGAGCTCATCAAGCCTCAGGCCTACGGAAACTGAATGGACAACTTATTTAAAAGCCTCTTCCTTTTATATAGCTGGCAGCTGGATTTTAAGAGACACCTGAAGAGAATCATCTGGGAAGTACACTTTTAACTGTTCTTCACCATCACGGGGGAAGCAGCATTTAAAGAGACTAAACAAAATACAATTAATTTGTTATTTACCTGTGAAAAGCATCCGTTGAAAGGTCCTGGGCCCCGTGTGATAACAGCTGGTCGTTTTCCAAAAGGCTCTTCCACTTGGCTATAATCTCAGTGCCGTACGTACAGTCCTGGAAATGATGAGGTTAAATGATACGTGGACTTAATTGGCTTTTCATTCATTTCAGCTGATATCCACAAGGAGCAGGGCTGACTGCACGCTCTGCTACAGGCAGCTTTCTCACATGTTTCTCTCACTATTGGCATGAACACAGGGTTCTATGTGGAGCCTTCTTTTCTGCTCTCACGTGTGAGGAAAGGTGGCTTTTTTCATTTCCTCTCCCAGCTAATCAGGGAATTTGGGCAAGGAGAGGGGAAGGCAAGACAACGAAACAACTTAAACCACAAAAAGGGAACTGCAGATAAATCACACTCATATTCACCTTGAGGGGATCCCAGTTCTTGAAGTAATCTTTCATGAGAGGATAGACTATTGCTACTGCCAAGTCTACCCTGTCAGACATTCTGTACTCTTCATAGTACTTGTCTTGAAGCGTCTCAAAGATCTTGGCACACTCATCCAAGGTCAAAGGATTTTCACAGCTGGGTTGCATCCGTCTCTCGCACTCCTCCACCATGTCCAGGACTTTGCTGAGGTTGCTGATGGCCGTCTCCTCGTGCGAGAGAATCTCAGACATCTTCTGTATCTCATGGCTTAGGTTGACCACCATGTCTCTCTCATACTGCAGCTGACGGTCGCTCTGGATGATCTCCTGCTCCGTGATGTCGATGAGAAGCTGTAAGTTGTGCTCCAGCTCAGGCAGGGCAAATCCCTGGGGCTTCGAGTCCTTGCCCAGCAGCTGCTGAGGATTGTCATCGGGGATATTGTGTTTGTGGCTAATTTGACTGTAGCTGTAATAAACCTTTTGCTCCCGGCCCGTCATATCTATAACCTTCCAACAAACAAGAAGAAAAGTCGTCTTAAAAAGTGCAATTTGTGTTTAAAAAGAGGAAATACCTTGTTCCAAATTGAAAATTGGAGACTGCCAATTACTCCAGCAGGCTGATGTGAAGATCTAGAGTAAATGAAGAACAATTGGAGGTCGGAGCTCAAAGATTCTACCTCTGATCTCAGTTTTGCCATTTTGCTGAGTTAATCTAAGAACAGCAATTACGACTAATTACTTAGGTAATTTTAGACTTTTTTATGGACTTGTCAATTTAAATGAGTAACTTCATTAAGAGCATTGAAGACAAGTTCCTTGCTGTCTGAAAGCTTTTCTACCTAAAAGGTACTGTGTGTTTAGTTGCACAGTCCCAATAAGGACAGATGTGCTTACAGAACTGGGTGAGCTATGACAAATGAGAAACACTTAACTTACAGAAGCAAACAAACAAGAAAACTAATCTGTATTTTCTCAAGATCAAGATGTTCCTCAAGGACAAGTCCAATGTTGCAGGCTATGTTGTGGTCTATTAAATGATTCAGTAATGAATCTGAAGCCTTGATTTGCATGAGGCTGTGGACAACAATTGTTAGAACTAGCTTCTGTTAAGGTTACCACTTGCCTAAAAGCACTCAACACTAATGCAAACAAACTGAATTGCTTCCCAGAGATGCCATCACTTGGTTTATCAGCCTTACCTTGACTTGAGAGAGCTCCTTCTGAGGGGTTGAAAGCTGTTTATTAATCCTACCCTTGGCTTTCAGTTCTTCTACTGTCTTATAGCTGTATTTGGGCTTTTTCTTGCCTCCATTAGGATCCTTCCGCCACTGACTGAGTTCTTTTTGAAATTCCTAAATAAAAACAAGGAGAAATTGCAATTGCTCTTCTCAGTCACGTCTCAGATTTGCCTGTTTTCTATGAAAAAGCAATCATCAGATCAATGGAGAATGCCATGCAGCAGAACAAAAGGGAAGGTGACAAAGCAGAGCGAAAACTGGCTCAAATGCTGAGGTCCAGTCAAAAAGCCTTTTCTCACCATTATCACTACCAGTACGTTTCTCATCTTTCTTTTTTTAAACACAAGGCAAATTATTTATCTGGGGGAAACTGAGGATGGGATTCCAGCAATGCTACTGGAATAAAGTGAGACAGAATCAACATAAAGGACATTACAGTAACATGAAAATACGTCTAAATGAAATTCATGCTTTGTGTTCTTAGTTTCTTATCTAAAAGGAGATCAATTTCCTCTAACACAAAAGCTGACACTAGAACTGAATTTTGCTTGCACAACACAACCAGGTGAACGGATGTACCAGGAATCATACAAATACCTCCTCAGCTTCTTCTTCAGAGTCAACAACAGGGAAGTCTTGCAAAGACTGGCTGGTTCTTTCAGAGCCATATGCTCCCACAGCTCCTTTGCCTTTTCTTTGCTTGGCCTCAATTGGATTAATAATACCTAACAAGAGACCAGTTAGATCAGAAGGAAGAAATTCAAACGAGAGAGAGCACTTGGCAAGAGAAGCAAGAGTTTATCTATAAGCCACTTCAAGTTGCTAGTTCTTAAACAATGCAGTCTCTTCTTCAAAGTATTAGTTATTAAAAAAAGAACCAAATACAGGATCACAGTACCTTGAGCATTCTTCCCAAGACCTCTTCCAGGGACATAACCCATCTTCTGGAGAAGTTTTTGCCCAATTCCCTTAGTGTGTCTCTCCCAGCTGCCAAAATCCGTGAAAGATTTTGTGCCCCCTACAAAGCCTTTCTGACTGGGCTTGAAATTTCCACCCTATTAAAACAAAAACACAGAAGATTTTTAAGGTGCTGTGGAACTTCGCTCTGACACAAGGTACTTCCTCAAAGCAATTCAGCTGTCAACACACCGCACTGTTTCCTATGTCAGAAAGCCACTTTCGTGCCCATGGGAGTTCCCTGCCATTGAAGAACTTTCCAAGTGAGATGTCAATTTTTAGGCTCTATCAAGAACTTTACTGAAGCTGCTTCCCAATTGTTTTTGTGCTTGACAACTGGAAACAAGCCCACAGCGGAGTGCCATTCCTAAGGATACACAACAATACATCCAGATATCCATGGAAAGGAAGAGCAAACACATCCCTCAGCTTCACGCTGTACCCCACGTGCTACATCAATGTTAACTGTTCCTCCCTTTCCTTAGTGCTCTAGTTGGAAGCACTGTTGGAACTGACTTTTTCTTGGAGGTGCTGGTGGGTTGGTTGGGATTTATTTCCAGAACTCAGACTGCTCTCTGAGCTCCACAAACATAATACAATGAAAACGTCCTGGATCACTCACTGTTTTCAACTTCTTTGGCACAAATTCTTTAGGGATCTCCTCCTGTTTAACTGGCTTCTCATCTTCATCAGAGTCCTCATCTGACACATCCTCAGCTGCTGACTTTTTCAGCCCTGCACTGATGAAGTTCACGGGGGCTGAGTAATCCCTAGAGCTGAACCAAAACAGGACCTGTAAGTCTTAAAACCGCCGGGCGGCACGGAAGTAAAAACATTACTGCTCACTCGGCAAGAAACATCAATTCTTCCTCCCGGTGACCGTCCGTACCCCCAACAAGCGCTGCTGGCGGGGCTTTGGGGCTGCGGGACGAGCCCCCGCCCCATCCCCGCTCCGTCACGCCTTACCCCCGCTCGGCCCGGCCCTATCCCCACTCTGCCCGGCCCCATCCCCGCTCGGCCCGGCCCCTCCCCGCCGCCCGCACCGCTTGCCGCCGAAGCTGGGCCGCTCCTCGTCCGAGTCTCGCTCGGCCCACACGCCGTAAGTGGCCTCCTCCTTGGTCTGCCGGTGCCGATGCCGGTGCGGGTTGAACTCGTTCTGAAGGTCCCAGTCCGACACCTCGAAGCTCTCCATCTCCACGCCATCCTCCCCGTCCGTGCCGTACAGGTGAGACATGGACATGGCACCTCCGAGGGCCGCCCGCCCCGCTCCAATCTACCGCTACTACCGCTCCGAGGCGGCCCGGAAGCGAACCTCGCAACTTCCGGTGACGTACGCATACGCCATTTCAGCCCCCACCCCCAACCATAGAGACGCTGGCTAGAAGGAACGGCTCCGCTAGCGCCCCCTGTCGGGGAGCGGCGCTTCGGGCGGCGGAGCGCTCCGCGGCACCCTGTTGGGGCAGCAGGGGGAGGGGCTGCGGCGTTAAAGCACTGCTCTAGTCGTGGGAAACGAGTAAGTGCAGCCAAGAGTGAAACGAATGACCTCATATATTAATTCTTAAATAGAATCTGTCAATGACAAGTGATTGAAGAGGGAGTCCCGGTTTGTCACCTGTACAACAAATGCTCTACACGGTTATGACACCTATTCTGATCTGCACATTAAGGAACAGCATTACGAGACAGTGAAATACGGCTCTAAAATGTTCTCCGGGAATTGAATAGAAAATCTCTTTCCAATGCACTTTGAAGGTTCAGTCGATCTTCACTTCCACAGATTTTTCACCACGGAGCATCCAGCAAAGGGAGACGAGTGGTATCGAAGTGTACAACGTTTGGCCTTTGCAAATAAATGCAAATACATTCCTCGCACGGCAGTCATTTTGGCAATATTAGCAAGCAATATGCTTGGATAACAGATCTCCACCGGTGCAACTGCAAACTCTTCTTTGCAGGGCCACCCAGGGCCGTTCGCAGCAGCCTGCAAAGGAAGAAACAGTCTGGGCAGTCAGGCAAGTCCCAACAGCCACATGCCAGCAACTTTAAAGCCACTGAGATACAGCAACTGTTGGATACTGAGTTCCAACTCAGGCGTGATGGGCAACAGCACCTGTTCATACTCCAAGCCTTTGACACGCTAACAGCTGCTGCTGCAGAAGTCAAGGAGAGCAGGTCTGTTTTCCCAAGCTGGCAGCAAACACAACCATCCCCCTTCTGAAATGCACACAGGGCACATCCTTGCAGCTGTCGGGACTCAGCACACATACACATCCCCCCCTGCCCTTTCCACATCCAGTAATAACACCCCCAAGTGGCTGACTGTGATTTTGCTGAAGTAATCCCGTTCCCAAAGCTCAGGAAAAAAAAAGAGATTTGACAAATCGTCTCACGTAACTGTATTGCTCTGAGAACCTAAAGCATCTGTGAAGGAGATCATTCATATCATGAGTGTGCCTGGAGCAGCTGGGGCAATCCACAAGCACAGGAAATTATACAAGCAAAATGCTAATCCTGCAGCAATGCCAGGCAGATTTGTGTGGATCCCAAATTAAAGTACAAGGTCTTACCTGGAAATCATTAATTAGTGAGAAGATGACGTGTTCTGAGTCACCTAGAATAACCAAGAAACAGAAGGATCAGTTTTAAGTCACCTGCAATTCAAAGCATTCCCAGTGTGTTCCCAGAAGCAAGAAAAAAGGGAAATGGTCAGGACAGAAAGTGTTACAACAGCAGAGAACAGGCAGCCAAGAGACCAAGCCACGAGTCTCTCACTTCCCTACCTCATGTGCAGTGTCAGCTACTCAGGAACTGCAAGTGACACCTCTTGCAGGGAATACATGTGTGTGCTTGCTGCACTAGCAGCCTCGCTTCCTCATTCTGGGATTTGCTATGCGTGTTTTCACATGCTGGCAATGCAGTCCCCGTGTTGAACAGGTAAAACCAGACACCTTTGATCAAAACATTGCTGATAATCAATGCTAATCTACTGCATCTCTTATTCAGGCAGGTGGCCTTATCTGAAGAGTCAATAAAATAACACTTAAGTCTGTATAAATGATGGCTGTTTGAATGCTCTGTGTTGTACACAATGGAAATCTCTTGCTTTCAAACAGTGCTATTTAGGAAGGGAAGTGGGAGCAGATGGCCTTTAAAGGTCCCTTCCCATTCAAATGATTCTGTGAATAACCACACAGGGCAAAGCACTCAGACATGACATCAAATTCTTACCTGCAGATGGCCTTTCAAGTTGGCTGGCGTTTTATAATCCCCCTTTAAAACCTATGGAAAAAAGAAAAATAGTGATCCCTTCTTGGACAGTGACTGTACGAACATCAGCAACTGCACATCGTTAACTGCAGCATATGTTCCAGGATACGTGAGCCAGCAAAGACCTGAAGAGCAGCTGTTCTAGCTCATGCTGGGATACTGGGAAAAACAGCAGGAGGTCTCTCCCTCAGTGACTGCTCACCCAAATCATCTGTGTCCTGAAATGCCTCAGCAAGCAGAGACAACAAGGAAGAACTGCAAGAGCCCAGAGCGCTCAGACCGTGACCAGCTCCAGGATAGCTCTCTGATCTGCCAGGTTTGTGCTGCAGCTCTCCACTCTGCACAGACAACAGGGAACAGCATTTTCTGCTCCCAGAAGTGTGGCAAAGGGCACTGTGTCCAAGGGCACTGTCACAGGGTCTGCACACAGATCTCAGTTTGGGGAGAACTGGTCCATCCCAAAGCATGAAAAATTCCCTCTGTCTGCTGCTGCCTGTGGCTCTGCAGCTTCAGACACTTGAGTCAATATTCTAAAAAAAATTCTTCTGGTTTTGCCCGTGTGCATTACAAGCATCCAGTCACATCCCTCGTGGGACTCTGGGAGTGGCTGCTGAGCAGCACACAGACTCAGCACTGCCTAAGATTTTCCTGAGGTCAGACTGGAGTTTCTAGTGCCAACGACTTTGCAACCAGATAACATCACAACCAGTAACTCCCATGTCTGGGTTCAAGAATGGGGCTGGTCAGGGAGGGAGGGACAGGTCAGTATCTGCCACAACAGAAGAAACGAATACTGCCACAAAATCACAGGGAGCAGAATCAATCTGAGCCACACCAGACTCAAACTACTGCACATAACTGTTGGGAAATCATCTCAGTGGAACTGAACACCCATCGTTCACAGTTTCCCAGAAGGAAGAGAGCTTTTGTTTCCCTGCTGCTTCTTTCTGACCCTGGCCAGAGCCCCTCCTGCTCTGGGGATGGCTGTGACACCCACCCTGTGCGTGTTGTTGACAACAAGTGGATCTGGGTGGCCATAGTTGGGTGGATTGGCATACGGGTCATAGCCAAGCCTGGCAAGCATGGGTGCTATGTGGGCCATGTCCTGCAGTACATCCCCTGGAATGTGTCCAATCCATTTAGATAATGCCTCCATGTTCACTGGCTTGATAACCTGGTCCGTTGATCTTTCTATCCTGGAGGAAAAAAAAAAATCAGAGAAAAAAGCAAAACAAGTTGCTGTCATCTGGTTTCACAAATACACTGGGCTCAGATAGAAGTTGTCTTCAGCTAGCCTAGCTGCCACCTGAACATTTTGCTTTCAGTGCCTGAGACAAGCACACAGCACACACATTGCTCCATACCCTCTGTGCATGCAGGCAGAGCTGCCAGGGCATGGCGGTGCTGCTGCTGTGTGAGGTCCCTGCAGCCCTGGGCTCGGGTCTCTGTGTGACTGCAAGGACACAGCACTGGGATCCATCCTGTGCTAGGGTGGCTGCTACCAGCCACAACCAACTACATTTTGCTAAGTTGGTCGGTCCTAAGCCTCTCTTAGAAAAGAAACAGCATGGGAAGACCAGGAGAAGGTGGGAGAAGCCAAGCACCTCCTGGAGCACTAAAACAGACTGCCAAGAGGGAGTGCTCAGGTGTGTCTCCATGGGAGAAAGCACTCCTTTTGTTCCGCAACACCAGCACCAATTTTGGCAGGAATTACTGCTCACCCCTGAAAGTGATTCATCAGCAGCAAAATTGCAGAAAGGAGATCTGAGGATGGGTGGAGAAAAGAAGCATTAAAGAGCTCACGTTTCTGAGCAAGCAGTTCTTTTCAAATTAAAGATCCGAGCCACTTCTGTGCTATCAAGAGAGATGAAATAAGAGTCACTTGCTTCCTGCTTGTCAGGCTGCTCTAATGCATACACCAGCTTGCTAATATTCAAGCCCTCATTTACTCAGAAACACAAAACTGACTGCAGTAAAGCTGAGTGTGCTGCTACTTCTACCTCTGAAAAGCACCCGCTGACACAAGCAAGGAACTCCTGCCCCCCAGCACACACTCACTTGGAAAGAGACACTCCGCCAGGCTTCCCTATGAGCTCCTCATGGTGCAGCACGGTGTCACTCCAGGAGATACCCAGGAACTTCATGATGGCATGCATGGACTGCTCGGGGTGCAGCACCAGCTGCTCGTAGTAGACGGGCAGGCAGCGAGAGCGCCCGATCTCCAGGCATTGGGAGTACATCACCTCGATGGCCTTGTTCCACTTGGTCAGGCAGTCCCGGTAGCTGTTCAGGTCAAAGCCTGCTATTGTCACCTTCCGTGTGATCATGGAGTGGACCGAAGCACGGCCGTCTCGAACCATCAGGAGGAACTTGGAATTGGGAAACAGCCTGGACAGGTAGACAGAGGACTTCAAGGTGAATGGGTCCTTGTTGCACAGATACCTGGCCGGCTCGCCGTGCTTGGCGATCACCTCCAGGATAAAGGCTTGCATGGCAGCATCCAACACCTGGTCCGTCACCCCAGCCTCGTCCAGCCGCATCTTCTCTCGCCCCGACTTGGACCAGGCCTGCCGCATGGCCAGCACGCGGGGGATGATGCGGGTCTCCTCCCCGCAGCGCACCTCTGGGTGGGCATCCAGCATGGCCCTCATCAGCGTGGTGCCGCTGCGGGGGACTCCGCCGATGAAGATGAGGGGCATCTCCTTGCTGTAACGGTACTCCACGTGGTTGGAGTCCACCATGACCAGCTCCTCATTCTCGGGTCTCATCAGCCTGTGCCTCCTCTTGCTCAGCACCTGCTGGCACTCCAGGACCTGCTGGCCGAGGTGCAGCGTCACCATCAGGGCCACCACCGAGCCCACCGCCAGCAGCACCCGCCGCATGGTGACCCGCATCCTGTCCTGCTGTGCAAGGACTGCACACCACGTCACCACGCTTTGGTTTTCAGCCACAGTGCGTTCAACCCAGCGGGCATCTGCAAGACAGAGAGCAGCTCTGTGAGCAGGGCTGCCTGCAGCCTGGCCCCAGCAGCTCCTGCAGACGCCCACACCGTGCCGGGCTGTCGTCATCCCTTCTACCTATCAGCAGATTTCAGGCTAGGTGCCTTCTGCCCAGAATGTAATTAAAGCCCGCCTCAGAGCACACCCAAAGAGATTAGTTCTTGGCTGTTTCTGCCCCCAGAATCTCAGGTTTGTGGCCAGAGCAAAGCTCAGTGGAGTTTTCGGAGAGGAGGGGTCCTGCTCACTCAGTCACTGCACCATGCAATTTCGCCTTCTTCCATTTACTCCTTTGGATCGAGTGTGCATTAGGCAAGGGGAAAAAAAAGAAAAACAACAGCTTTCTTTTCACCCAGTAAGGAGTCTCTGGGGTTTGCTCCGTCCTGGACGAAGCCCAGCCTCCCAGGGCAGCTCCTGCGCTCGGCACGCTGCCCTCCTCCCCTCCTGCCAACCACCTGCCCCCCTCCCACATCTTCTTCAGTTTTACATACGCTGCCGTAGGGGAGGGTGGAAACTGAAATAAACAGAAAAACAAAAGCAGCTCACTCACTCCTCAAGGCCTAAGTCAGAAAGAAGCAATTACCCATTAGAATGAAACAAGCTGAGAAATTAAAAGGGTAACACATCAATAATAGCAACGTGTGTTGTGTTTAACACCTTTCTCCCCCAGCCTGACCTTACACGAAGCCCCCCCAGCACTGAGGCAGTGTCTGCTTGCAGGACACGGCTGCAGAAGTGCTGTTGTGCAGTGCTGCGCTGCTGCCTGCACGGCTCCCAGGAGAGCTGGCACTGCTCCCACCCCTCCTCCCCTTCCCCCCGGGTTTGTGAGTGCAGGTTTGGCAATCCTACCCCAGGGTCACAGCGGGATTTCAAGTTCTTTGTGATTACAGGGCTCGGGTGAGTGGAAGGAACGAGATGTCCGTGAGCTTTATTTCACTGACAATCAAAGAACTGCTTCAGAAAAGCTCCTTTTCCTCTCCACTCTTTTCATCAAAGAGCTCATTTAGCCAAGCACCTTCAAGTGGGGAGCAGCCAGCAGGGCCTGCCCGGTGCCAGCCCCACGGCATACAGCCCTCCCCATTACCAGCCCATGCCAGGGCCCTTCCCACCCCAAGGTGACATGGCCACCAGCACTCTCCCTGCAGCACACAGCCCCATGGCCAACTCCCCGACCAGCTGCTCTGTCATCCCACCAGGATCCAACGGTTTCAAATGCACGTCCACATGCTGTGTATGAGCCAAGAAGTCAAATGGTGATCTGTCTGTTTCAACCGGACGCCACACGGAACAACAAACAGCACCCTGGCATTTGTCCAGCCCCAAGTCAGGCCCATTAAAAAGATGAGCGCTGTCCGCTCCACCCTTCCATCTCCATCTGTCTCACTCATGTAAATGTATTCAAATGTTCACCCTAAAAATAACTGCTAACGGCCACGCAGACCCATTGCAGCAACGGCGCAGTCAGAGCGCTCAGCACGTCAGGGCTATTGGAACCACTGCAGCCGTGCAGGAAGAAGAGAGGTTGGTGGGGAAGTGACAACAAGGCAGTGACAAACAAGGACACCAAAGTTCCTGCAGGCAGAGTGCCTTCTGTATTTACATGCTGACAGGACCTCCATAGCGACAGGGCTGCAAGCTGGAGAAGTGCAGTATTAACAGAGCACCAGCAAAGTGTGGACAGATGGATGAAACATCCATCAGTGGACTCTGGGTGCCACGGGGAAACCAGGTGCTGGGAGCTCCAGGCACGCCTTACCTGCCCCTTGCAGCTCATGGTGCTGCCAGCCAAGCTTCGTGCTGAGATGCAGATGACCGTGAGAACACCTAGCAGGGAAGAAAAATCACAGGGTTGATTTGTTTGCTGATCACAGGCAGCCCCCACCCAGCTGGTGGGGCAAAGCTCAGCCCCACAGCAATGTTGAAGCACGTGGCTGAGATCCTCCTGGTGCTGGTTCAGGGGCAAAATCCAGCTCCAGTGCTGCAAGCACCCACTGTCACAGCAGTTACCATCTCCATGCAGCCACAGCACTGAACCCTGAACTGCCAGCACCCAGCAGCTCAGCTCTGCAAACCTACATGCATGGAGCAACCCAGGCACCATGCTCACTGCAGGGCTCCTGCCAGCGTCCTGGTGAGGCCACAGCTGTGTCCCTGTGTGCACAGTGCTGTTCCTGCACGCATGGCCCTGTCCCAGCCCTGGAGGATGTTTTTGAGAACATTTCAAGTACAGACACTAATTGTTATTCCAGCCACCCCAGATCCTCCTCCTCTCCTGCCCAACCAGACGTCACGCAGCCCCTCTGCTTCAGCACTGATGGGAAACCAGAGGGAAACTCCACCCAGCACCAACGCTGCAATGGAGCAGAGCTCATCTGCAGCACATGCATCGCCTTTCATCCTCACAACACTTCCTGCTCCTTTCCTTCAGCCACAAGATCTACCCTGGACAAGGCTGCAGGGCGCTGAGCAGCACCCACACACATCTCAGAGCTCCGTGGTGCAGTGGTTTAACAGCTGCCTTGCTCCGGAAACTCCTCCAGCTCTCACCCTCACAAACACAATGTGCACACACACACACACATACAGACTTGCAGACTTCCTTCCTGCTGCAGCACAGGGCCGTGCTGTGCCATCGCCTGGTCACAGCTTGTGGCCACAGGCAGCACCCAGTCTGCAACACAGCACTGCCTCCGGCCCATTCTTCAAAGCAGAGAAGCATTGCAAACTATTGCAAACAAGTGACAGAACCAGTAAGAAGCATGATGTGATGCTAAATTAATTTTGCTTTACACCATTCCCAGAAATAGATGCTAGTGACTTCCTGAAATGACAGAGGTGTGGCATGGAAAGTTTTAGCTCAGATCCTTGGGCTTAATGAGGGATGAGGAAATGTGAACATCTTCACGGAGGAACAGCAGTAACTGTGGCCAGCAAGATGCCGATGGACCTCATGTGCATCTTTCTACAGCAGCAATGCTTATCCTGCAGCACTTGGGGCTGCAGTATCTGGCAGCACCCAGCAGCACGCAGCAGCACCCAGGGGTGCAGCCCTAGGGCAGCACTGCAGGAGGGGAGCAGGGAGCCAGGTGTAGAGCAGGGCCCACATCATGAAACTGTTCTGCTCAAGGGCACCAATGGCATTCAGAGGAAAACACAAACAGTCGCTTTCAGGGCCCCACGTGACAAGAGCAGCACCACGCAGAGCAGAGCATTTTTGCTGATTCAAACTAAAGATGTGATGTGGGCCACAAAGCCAGACACAGTAACAGGAACCAGAAGCCAACCCTGGTACAAACACATGGATTTTAGACTACTTGTGGGTCACGAGGGCCTTTGAAAATCCCCAAATAGACCAAGCAGCGCTGCGGTTCACATTTGCAGCAGCAGCACCACCCGAAGTGACAGAGCCACTGAAAGGCAGCACCAACGCCAGCAACCTGCAGCCAGCTTGTCCAGGAGGAGGAAAGGCCCTGATGTGCCATATGCTACCCTTTTGCCTCTGTTCCCATGTCCTGGTGGCAGCCCTCTGCGTGCCTATGCACAAATGGAGCAGAACAAAAGACTCACCACGAGCGTGGGTGGTCAGAGCGTGCCATGCAACAGGGAGAAAAAAAACATCAAAGGTACTGCTAGAAAAAACACTCCCCATCTTCAAAACAGTATTTCCAAATCCACATGCCAAAGCATAAGTGTTAATGAGCTCCATTCCCGCATGCACAAAGATCATGGCTTTGCAAAGTAAAGGTTGTTTCTGCAAGAGAAACCCCAAAACCTCAAATTTGCTTAGGAAACATAATCAAAATATTTTATTTCCCAGTGATGCAACACTAGAGATATTCCTGCCCCAAAGGCACTGCTGAGCACAGGCTCAGGGCATGGCGGTGCCACCATAAAGCAGCAGGGCATGGGAGTTCACTCATACAGACAAGCTCTTTGGCAGATGCTCCAACCTCCTGGGATGTGCACACAGCAGCCTGCTGTCTGCAATGCACAGGGATGGGAGGGTGAGAGCAGGTACCCTAAGAGTGCCCTGGGGGAAAGCAGAGGCAGAGCAGCGTGCCTCTGGGCAGGGAGCAAAAACCTACACGGAGTGCCCTGCACTGAGAATCATGCACTGCCTCGTGCACACTGCAGCACTGCATGCACTGAGCGCCCTGCAGAGAGCATCCTGCACTGGGTGCCACGCACCGAGCACCCTGCACCGCCGCCTTGTGCACACTGCTCACTGAGCATCCTGCACTAAGCAGCCTGCGCTGAGCATCCTGTGCTGAGTGCAATGCACTGAGCATCCTGTGCTGAGTGCCACATCAGACTGCCCTGCAATGGGTGCCTGAGCACCCCGCACTGAGCGCCATGCACCGAGTGCCCTGCACCACCACCTCGTTCACGCTGCTCACCGAGTGCCACATACTGAACACCTCGCACTGAGCACCCTGTACCGAGTGCCCTGCACTGAGCACCGCGCACTGTGCGCCCGGCACCACCCCGTGCACCCTGCACCGTGCACCGCGCTCTATGCACTGAGCATCCAGCACCGTGTGCCCCCGCATCACCCCGAGCACACCGCTCACCGTGCATCCCGCACCGAGTGCTATACACTGAGCACCGCGCTCTGAGCGCCACGCACCACCCCTCGCACGCCGCTCACTGCGCGCACTGTGCACAGCGCTCCCCGCACTGCCCGTCCCCGCTCCCACCTGCGGCTGTCGCTGCGGTTCCGGTGTCGCCGCTCGGACCGGGCCGGGCCGCACTCCCCGGGTCCGCCGCCGGCGCGGAACGGAGCGGCGCTGAGATACGGCGACGTCACGCGCAGAGGGGCCGGGATCCCCGCGCCGCCCGCCGCCCCACCGCGCATGCGTCCCCTGGCGTGCACGCGTGTGGCCGCCTTGCGCGTGCACGGTGCGAGCGACTGGACGTGCGCGCGGGTTGTGCAAACGGCACTCGGGGAACGGCGCGTGCATGGTGCCGAGGGCACGGCTGCAGCGCTGCACTGGTTGCGCGCCCGTCCCGTCCGTGTGCTGCGTGCACAAATCTTGCGGTCAGGGTAGTGTTGCATGCACGGCTCCAGGCAGTGCTGCGTGCACGGTGCCCAACCGAGGGAACGCAGGGGCTGCCCCTGGGGGGAAAAGGGGGGTCTCGCTTTGAGGTTTGCAGGGAGGGAATGGAAGACGAGCCCGAGCGGAATGGGAGCAAAGGGAAACGAGGCGACGGAGCGCGCTCTGGAACGCACGCAGCAGGCAGCTCCATCGTCTGATTTTTTTTTTTAATTTGCCTCACAACGTCGAGTACACGCGGCGGCGGCGGTGGCGCGGTCGGTAGACACGGATAGTGCAGGGGGAGCGCGGGGCGGGCGCGGGGCCGCGCTCAGTTGGAGGGCGCCTCGGGGGTGACAAAGGTGCCCTTCTGGTCCCACTGCATGTCCCGGATGCGGCGGATGGACTGGATCTGGGGCTGGAAGGCGCACCACTCGTTCCAGTGCCTGAAGTCCCCGGTCTCAAAGAGGTACTGGTAGCCGCGGTACCCGGGGTACTGATACCCGACCCAGCTGCGGGGAGAGCAGACTTAGTGCTGTGCCCAAACCCCCTTTCTCCCTCCCCGGCGCCCCCCGCTGCAGCCCCAGCTTACGTTCCGCTGGGCACCTTCACGCTGCCCACACGGTCGCAAAAGCCATAAGCCCAGAGGCTGGGCACGTCGTCCTCCTGGATGTCCATCTTGTTGCCCTTGAAGTCAGCGGACTCGTACAGGGAGATCTTGTGGTCCTCGGCCTCCTGGGGGGGACAGCGGCGTTGGGATGGGCGGATGGTGCCCGCAGCACGTGGGGTGCAGAGCACTCACCATTCGGATGGGACGCATGGACATGAAGCAGTCGCTGCGGTAGCTGCTGGACCAGGTGTCCCAACGTGGGTACTCGCCCTTCTCCAGGATGAACATCTCCCCGCGCATGTTGGCTTGTTCATAGGCCACCCAGCTGGGGATGGGCAGGGTATGGCACATCAGGAGCCCTGCAGCACTACAGGCACTGCCTGAAGAGCAGCTCTGCTGCAAGGCCCTGGGGTGGCACGCTGTGTGCCGCGCTCATCCCTGTGCTCCCAGTGCGTTTGTTCCGCTTTACATCATGGAGCACAGGGCCAATGTTCCCAAACAACCCGCTGCACTGTGCACCTCCAGTGTCACCCAAGCTCAGGGCTCAGTGCTCACACAGTGGCAATGCCAGCTTTTTGGCAGCCAGCACCAGAGGATTCCCACATTCACTGCTGGATGTTTTCTTCCAACATGGAGCTATTGCTGCAGGGATTTTCCTGATGGCAGGAGACAGGTCAGAGTACTGTGGGCACTCCAACCTTACACTTGGCTGATTTTACTTTTGTCTTTCCCTGAGCAAAAGCTTTGGGTGCAGTTCCACCAGTGGCTGTCCAGCAGACCCTGAGGGTTTGGGTCCTGTCCCCCATTGACCTTGTGTTCCCGAGTTTCTACCCTTACTAATGCTTCCCAGGCCTCATCCCACCTCCCCAGTGCTGCTTTGGCCCCATTCCCTGCCTGGCTCTGGCCCAGGGTTGCTGGGTCCCCACTGGATCCCCACTGTGTCACTCACGGTCCAGAGCTGACGATGACACTGCGCACTCTGTCAAACCCGCAGTCTGCCAGGTTCAGGCACTCACTGGTGAACTCCATCTGCCTGCCCTGGAAATTCTCCTGCTCGAAGATGACAATCTGTGGGAGAGCAAAGGAATCAGGCCGTGAACTGCTGCTGTCCCTCTCCCTGACACTTTGTCTTTCCGCTTGGGGACACGTAGGCTTACCCTGAAAGCTTCCGTGGAGGGCTCTTCCCCTTTGCTGTTGGTGACAGGAGTGGGGTCGGAGGATGGAGCTGGTGCCGGGGCCGCCTTCTCCTTGTCCTCTGCAGCCTGGCCAGGAGCAGTGGTTTTTGTGGTCTCAGACATCGCGGTGGTCAGCTCGGGTCTGGAGACAGAGGTGTGGGGGGGCTCAGTGGGGACAAGGTCCCAGTGGCGGTGCTATTGGTGTGGGGGTGAGGAGCTTCCCACGGCGCACAGGACATGGGTCCTGCCTTGGCCACAAGAGGTGCCAGCTGCCCACAATCCCCAAGAGAGCCCTGAGCGTGGCCCCATCACTGGGGGTACCCGGAGCTCCCTGAGGCCATCCCACACAGGCGTGCGTGGGAGCACAGCAGGCAGCGGGACAGCCCTGGGGCCACCGATGGGTGGTGGGGTGGGAGGAGACAGCCCTGCTTTGGCTTGACCTGCAGTGGGCACCCCACTGGTGGCACCACAATAGGGGATCCCAGGGGGAGTGGGACCCTCCTTGCACCCCCCAGTACCGTGCTGGTTCAGGGTGCTCCAGAAATGGTGGGCACAGTGTGGGCACAGCCAAAAACCCGCGTTTTCCTCTCCCCCCCTTGGGACTGGCTGGAGCAAGTGCCACCGCCCTGGGACTTTCTCCTCTTACCTGGGCAGCTGCTGCTTCTTGTTGGAGGGAGCAGGCTTGTGTTTCGGGGTGCAGCGGGGCCCCCACTTTATAGCCTGGCAAGGGCAGAGCGCAGGCGGGTACACAATGGAAGTGCCAGCTCATCAGTGTCTGTGCGGCCGCCCAGTCATCACATCCTGCAAAGCTCTGGGCGAGCTGGAAGCCTCTCCCCGGCCCTGTGCCCAGCCGCTGAACCCAGCACTTTCCTTTATCCAGCGGCACAACAGAAGACCTGACCGCGCCACTTTGCCACACGCCGACACCACGGCCCCGCGCAGAGCATATATACCCCTGCAGCCCACCAGCACCTGGCTCCAGCACTGCTGCTGCTGCTGGGCATGGTACTCCAGCCCTGTGGCTGCCCCCAAGCCCAGCCCATGGGACCAGGCAGGGCTCCCAGCCCCATCTCTCTGGCCCTGCAGGTTTCTGTCCCGGCACCTTGGGCATAACCAGCTGTGCACCCTCTGTTTCCTCATTTTCCACCTGAGCACTACATGTCTTGCTTTAAACATCCCTCCATAACTACTTGGGCAGCTCCAAGGAAGCAAGTTGCGAGAATGCAAGACTGTAAAAAAGAATGCAAGATTGTGAAATGCTTTGAGTATTGCTTTTGTGTTTGCTTTTTAATTTTTTTTCCACAAGTGATGTGTGGTCAAAGCAGGCATTTTATGGTATGTCTTAGTCCACAAAAGCAGCATTCTCCTCTAAGGATGCCACAGCTGGCAGCCCCTGCTCCCTGTGCCCACTGTGTCCGTCTCCACTCGACCGCCAGTTTTCAGCACATTGAACACGTGCTATGCTCATTTGTACCATTCCTTGTTCTCCTCTAAATGCACTGCATGGGAGCAAATCCCACCTCAGTGCAGCAGTGCTGTGTCAGCTGCTGGGAGGCAGGCAGAGGGGGCGAGGGGGGGGCACCTGGGGGCACTCTGCCAGCAGCTGCTCTTCTGTGCCTGCTGGGAGCCTGCAGCCGCATCAAACACTCAGCAGCATCAGTTTGGGCTTTCCAACACGGACAAAATAAATCACCCATGGCTGTGCATTCGGTGAGCCCACTGCCCTCATTCAGAAGCTGCTGCTTTCGTTCCCCTCGAGGGCAAAGTGTTAATTCACAGTGGTGCAATTTCAGCAGCACCACCCGGGATGTTTCCCAAAATACCAAACAAAAAGCACTCATCGATCTCTTCTTCTCTCCTTATCGACCATGCTGTCCCCTGTGGCACTGCTGGGTGTGTTGCATTGCTGCTGCTCTGAGCTCACCCCAGGGTCTACTTCCTTACTGTCATGGTGGGCAGTTTTCATGACTCTTGGTTTTCAATTTGCATTCATTTTCGTGGTTGTTAGACACCTTTCTATTTTAAGCTGCATTTCTTCCTCTTAGAGCCAGGTGTTTTCTTAACCATGCCGCTGTGCTGGTGGCTCCTGAATGCTGATATCCAGCCTCCACCACCCCACAGATTCAACTCCTTTTGTCTTTCTCCTGGTTTCCTTCCCAACTTGCAGCCATAGGGGTGCTCCTGCAGCTCTAGGGGTGTTCTCTCCCCACTGTTGCCCCAGGATTATGCAGTAGGAGGGGGGTCACTATGAGCAAAAGCAGAAGGTATTTAGGTACAGTGTAGATTCTGTGGGCTCTTCCCAGGTCCCTGAGCACAGAGATAGAATCCATAAATCTTCATCTGCACCACTAGGCCCCTATAATGCCTTTGCAAATCGGCCCCTGGCTTTGATATGCTACTGTTCCCTGCTCTGTGCTCTGTGCCTGGGGCAGGTGGAGGGCACAGCTGGGGGACATGCACAGACCCTGGGTCATGTCACAGCCCGTGCCTGGTGTGCTGGGAGCAGAGCTGTGGTGTCTCCGAGCCCATTGCTCCCCCACGGCATTGCCTTTGTTCTGCCAGTCCCTCCTCCTGCCATGTGCTGAGTTAGGGCTTTCTGTAATGCTCTCCTGCCCTGTCTCTATCTGGAGGCTATAAAAGCTCTGCCGGAGAGCTGTTGGCCACGCCACCTCCGGGCTCAGCACTCGTCCCCAGTAAGCACAGAAGGAGAGCAGTGCGGACCCCCAGCCTCCCCCTGTCCACCAGGGCACAGCGCCTGTCCTCCTGTCCACCTACGCAGAGCCGTGATGATCCAGCGCCGCAGGCCGTCCTCCGGCCTCTGGAAGGTGCAGGAAGCAAAGGAAGGCTGGGAACGTAGCCCTGGCCCCACAGACAGCTGGCAGCAGGGCACCCACGGAGCCCTGATCCATCCCTGCTCCCCAGATCGTGGTGTGGGACGAGCCCTTCTTCCAGGGCAAGCGGCACGAGTTCACCACCGAATGCTACAGCACTCCGGAGCGCGGCTTCAGCACCGTGCGCTCCTTCAGGATCGAGAGTGGGGCGTGAGTGAGGGGCCGGGGGATCCCGTGGGGCTGGGGGTCCCAAGGCACTCACCCTTGGCTCCCGCAGCTGGGTGGGCTTCGAGCACTGCGGCTTCCAGGGACAGCAGTTTGTGTTGGAGCGTGGTGAGTATCCGTGCTGGGAGGCGTGGAGTGGCAGCAACGCCTACCACGTGGACAGGATGAGCTCCTTCCGCCCCATCACCTGTGCTGTGAGTAGCACCCAGTGCAGTGACATGCCCGGACCCCGTGCTGTCCCCATCCACGGTGATGCGTAGCCATGCCAATGCGGTGCATCTCGGTGCAGGAGCACGGGCACAGCCAGCTGCTGCTGTTCGAGCAGGAGAACTTCCAGGGCAGGAGGGGGGAGCTGAGCGACGACTGCCCCTCGCTGCCCGAGCTGGGCTGGGATGGCAGTGCCGTGGGCTCCTTCCTCGTCTGCTCCGGCGCGTGAGTAGTGAGGCAGGGCTGGTGGCACTCTGCTGGGACCTCTGGCAGTGCCACCACCCTGAGACGTGCTCGTCTGCTCCATTCATGGCCAGGTGGGTCTGCTCACAGTACCCTGGGTACAGGGGCTTCCAGTACCTCCTGGAGAGTGACAGCCATGCCGGCGAGTACAAGCACGTTCGGGAGTGGGGCTCCCATGCACAGACGGGCCAGGTGCAGTCCATCCGCAGGGTTCAGCAGTGACTGCTAGCTCTGCACTTGCAGGCACCCCCCAGACTGTGTTGCGAAGGTGGCAAAGCTCAATAAAAGCTCCATTGTCCAACACGGTGTGTTTACACTTGGAGGGGTATGTGGGCTGGGAGCGGCAATGGGGTGCCTCAGGGGTGCCCATGTCCCCACCACTGCCAGGGGACTTGAACCAGCACTGTGGCTCCAACCAGGCAGGAAAGGATACCGTGCTGCCTGAGCCCTGCTCAGGAGGAATTAGGAGCTGCAAGGTCTGGCAGGCCACAGCTGCATGCTGTGCCCCCATCTTCATGCCTATACACAACTCGTCACCCATGCACACCTTCCTCCATACCTTTGCACATATGCAAACATCCACGCACACACCTGTGCACTCATATCTGCATCCCCACACCTGTGTATGCGCCCCTATAGCCATGGCAAAACCCTGAACCACCTGTGCACTCGTGCCTGTGCTCATACACACTCCTCTGCATTAATGCACCACCTCTGTGGCCATGTGCAGCCCTGCAGCATGGCAGTGCCCAGAGAGGAGCCACAGGGCAGGGCTTCTCCTGCTGGCCCTGTTCAGTGCTGCAGGAGATGGAGGAAGCAGGTTGCTGGTGGGGGCTGCTGAGACAACATCTTCTTTGTCTTGTGGGAAAACAGCAGTGAGCTGAAGCTGGCAATGTGATGGGGAAAAAAATAATGGTTCAGAAATATTTCTCATTTCAGAAGGGCTCTGGAGAAAAAAAGGTTTGATGGCATTAAGATGTCCCTTTTCTGGCATTTGCAAAAGAAAGACCACAGTGGAGACAGTGCTTCCCTGGGAAGGGATCCTCCTCAAAGGACATAATAATTAAAAATACTGAATAGAAGGAGAAGCAGACAGTGTGGGATGGGCTGAGCAAAATCCTCCTGCTGCCCCAGAACAGCTGTGACAGCACAGCCTCCACAGCTCCCGTCTGATGTGTGTGCAGCTGGGAAGTGCACCTACATGTGGAGTGATGCCACTGGGGACAGTGGGATGGCCAGGCACTGCCCTTGGGTGCCTGCACATGATGCACTGTGGCACGGTGACACCCCAACACCGCAGCACCCACAGCTGTTACGCTCTCCCCAAGCAGCAGCCATTGCTCTTAGCCCCCTCCTGCTCCAACCCCCACCCATCACTTGGGGCCAAGGGGAGGGGGGGAGGGAGAGATGTTGCCTGGGCCGCATCTCCAACATTAACATTTCATGGGCGCTGCAGCATCCTCCTGCATGTAGGTAGGGCTGCGGGGCCGGCAGGGGCTGCGGGGGAGGAGTTTGCATGGCAATATCTTGCACAGGGAATCTCTCTGGAAAGCTCCAGCACAAAGGAGCTGTACAGCGGCCAAGAGAGCACGCAGACCACGGTCCCCAAGCCGGCTGCCACCTGGAAGCCAGGTAATGCTGCCCTTCCTTTTCCCTCCGCTGTTTCCTAATGGGAACGTGGCTTTTCTCCAGGCCCAGGGTTTTGGGGCATTGGGTGCAGCCCTGGGAGCCCCCCGGTTCCATGCCCACAGCCCCGCACTGAGTACCAGCACCAATACTGATGGATGCACTGCTTGTTCGTGTTGTTTTTCAGAATCCTCATCAAGAATAGGGCTCGAGACAGGTAAATGGATTCTTGCCTCATTTTCAGTGCTCCTGGAAAGGAAGCAGGCAAAATGCTGGTTTGCTTCTTTGTCTTGAAACCACCATTTTCCTCCAGGCCTGGTGATGTTAGGTGGGGGTTTTAGAGGAGAGAGGCTGAGGGTAGCTCTTCCCTCCGCAAAGAGTTAATGTGACAGCTGCCGCCAGGCTCCTTTTGGGGAGCCATTTTCTCTCCCTCATTGTTCCGCTGCCTTTGTGTGCACGTCCATCTCATCCGGGGAGCCAGGAAGAATGAGACCCCAACGCCCTGGGGACCCTTCCCCATTACAGCTCTGCTTCAGAAAGCAGCGGCAGAGCGGTGCGGGCACAGAGGGTGGCAGTGGGGTGGGGGACAGCAGCGGGGTGGGAGGGGTGGAAGGGTGCTGGGGGGGGGGGTTAGACTGGAGCCACTGCTGCGGGCGGAGGGAGGAGGGATCATCCCACCGAGCAGCAACAATGAACCTCGGGCAGCAAACGGCAGCTGCTCGGCAGCTGAAGTGCGCAGTCATTGCAGAGCGGCCCCGCTGGGGTTTGGGGCCATTGTTGCTTTTCCCACATTGGCCCCACGCTGCTTGTTCCCAGCGGGATGCAGCCAGGTGGGATGTCTGCCTCTGCTACAGCCCATGAGCAGAGAGGTGCGGGCACAGCAGTGGATCTGAGGGCACTGCAGGGCCCTCACTGCATGGCAGTGCCACGCTCCGCTGAGGCAGTGCTGCACTGGGGACCTCGGTGCTGATCCGACAGCATGGTGCTGCTCCTTGCTCTCTTGCTGCGTTGCTTGCTTTCTTTTGCAGCTGCTAATGACTGACCTGAGGTCTGTTCACACACAGTCCCCTGCGCAGCCCTCGCAGAGGAACATCCGGAAGGGATGGGGGACGCTGCACGGTGCCCACGTAGCCAGATTGCACAGGTAGGACCCCTGTGGGTCAGGTGGGCACCCCTTGGTATTACCCAGCCCTGTGCTCGCCCCGTAGTCTGAGAGCTGGCACGGGTCTGTGCAGCCAGGTTGTGCTGCCTGCACTCAGGGCTGCTCCTTCTGCACCTGGAGCAAAGCTGCCCGCCCTGGGGTCCAAGGGTCACACCATAAGGCTGCGTGACCAGGGGCTGCTCCAAGAGGTGTGTGGCAGTGAGATGGGGTCTGCTCATAGGTGCTCACAGCATCTCTGCTTCCCAGAACCACCAGCCCCATGGCTCTGCCACAGCTCTCACCCGAGGGCACCGGGGCACAGGGACGTGACAGCCACCTGCACACGGACACTGGAGCTGCTGGCCCCAGCGAAGCCACCTGATGCCAGCTCAGCTGCTGTGGGAACAAGGCTGAAGAGATGGTGGTGGCAGTGCCTGAGGACATGGGACTGCCTTCACATGGTTCTTCCAGGTGCTGGGGTCCTCTTCTTCCTGCAAACACTCTGGCACTGATGAGGCTGTCCCCTCCTTGGAGTCCATTTCTCATCCTCATGGTGCCAGGGCTGCACATTGCAGGGCGTACTCAGGCTCTGTGTGCCTTACCAGCACGGTGACAGCAGCAGATCCCCACCAAGCGTTTCATCTGGAGGGCTGCATTGCGCTGACCCATCCCCTGACACCTTCCCATATCCCATAACCCAGTGGCAAAGCCCAAAAACGTCTCCTGCTCTCCAAAGCCATGCTGCCTTGCGCGGGGACTAACCGTGCCCAGCTGTGCATGCGTGTGCTCTGCTCCTCTCCAGCACTAACCAGGGCCCCCAGGCACCGTGTGCCCCTTGTGATCACTAACCCACTAACACACCCGCATGCCCTACTAACAGCCCTGCTCTCACTAACAGCCCACAGGCCTTAAAGGGGAACGGAAAAGCTGGGTAAGTACGGGGCTGTGCAGGGCAGTATGGGGCTGGGGATGCCAGGCAGCATGTGGGGCAGGCAGGACAGGATGGGCAGCTCCTCTGTATGTCCCCTGCATGGGGCTGGTCTCTGCAGCAGTGGGGCTGCGATGCCCAAAGTGCTGCATGCGGTTCTGCTGCTGACTGGGAGCCCAAAATGGTTTTATCAGCAGAAGCTTTTCAGTTCCTTTTTAAGCCAGTGGATCTCTCTGTTACTAACACATTCCTGAACTGAATTAAACAAACTAATCGTTGCTACTTTTCTCTTCATTTCTTTTCTAGTGTATATGTTCTCTAAGTGCGACTGACGATGCCATGCTTCTCTTTACTAACAGCCTACATTAACCTCTCTTTACTTGTTTCTCTATTGCCTCTAACAGTTCTTTGCACTTCAACTTTCCAGTGCTGTTGGCCATGACAGATGAGCCGTGGTCCCTACACACCCAGTGACCCACAGCTGCTGACCCCACACTGCCAGTGGGTGCAGCACAAAGGGAGAGGCTCAGGCCAGGGCTGCTTTCAAAATTTCCCTATTGGCCTGTTGTTTGCTAAGAAATTTCACGTGGTTCAATGAGGAAAAGATACTGAGTGGAATGAGGACAATGCCAAAACCATGAGCAACAGCTGGCAATTGCCACAATAAACCAGCAAAGCTGCCCAGAAAGCAGCACGATGGCCACGAGCCCCCCACCCCAGTTCACCTGTCATGGAAACAGCCTCTCCGCATCACACGCGGGGCAGCTGCAGATTCTGCTGGCTCTCTTTGCTCCCTTTTTCTCTCTGCAGTGATCTCGTGACCCCGATGCATGCAGAAAGGTGGTGCCAGCAGCGTGCTCCTAACTAACCATGAGGCTCTGAGGGCTGAGGTTGCCCATGGGTTGGTACTCACAGTGTTCTGCCAGACACTGATGGTGACAGTGACAGTGATGGTGATGAGCTGGCCAGAGGCACTCTGCCTGGCAGAGTCAGTGTGCTGCTAATGCTGGGGCTGGGCTGCAGCCCTTGCTTTGCTTTCCATAGGTCTGAAATCAGGTAAAACTCCCCTGCATTTGTTTAAGGCCAGGTTGGACGGGGTCCTGGGCAACCTGATCTGAATGTGTATGTTTGGTGGCCCTGCTAGGCAGGGGGGTTGGAACTACATGATCCTTGAGGTCCCTTCCAACCCGGGTGATTCTGTGATTCTGTGATTCTGTGATTCTGCATTTGCATGGGGTTGAGGCTTCAGGATCCGGCCATCTGCCCAGGTTTGGCATGCAGTGTGTGTAGGACATTGCCAGCATGCACAGAGCACAGCTCACCCTGCATCCAGCAGACCATGGTTGTCTTTGTGCTGCCTTCGATCCCTGGGACAGGGGCCTGGCTCCTGGATCTGCAGCCGAGGAGCTCCAAGCTGGCTGCCCCCTGCACCCCAGCCATGAGTGGGGAATCAGCAGCTGAAGCACCCACTGGCAAGCAGCTCCCCATCTCCTCCACATTAACCTCTAACAATCCACTCCATGTCCT